ACTCCGAAAGGCTTGCGAGCGCTGTGTTGAGATGGAGTTCAACAGCTTCGAAGGTACTATGCTGGGCTGTGATGCAGGTGTCATCTGCATAGATGAAGTTTCGAGTGTTCTCTGTTGAAGGGATGTCAGCAGTGTATATGTTGTAGAGTGTTGGCGCCAGGACGCCACCCTGGGGGAGACCGTTTTTCTGTTTCCGCCATCTGCTCTTCTGCCCATCCAGTTCGACAAAGAAGCGTCTGTTCTGCATCATCTTCTGAATGAATCTGGTGAGTTTGAGGTCATTTGTGATGTCATGAAGTTTTGTCTGTAGCCTTCGGTGATTGACAGTGTCATAAGCCGCAGATAAATCCACAAATACTGCACCTGTGATGAGGTTGTTCTGAAAACCGTCTTCGATGTGTTGGGTCAGGTTGAGAAGTTGTCCCGTGGTGGATTTTCCTGGTCGGAAACCTGCCTGCTCACAGTTCAGTTGGCTGTCAACGTGAGGCCCAATTCTGTTGAGAATAAGGCGTTCAAGCAGCTTGTATGTTTGGCACAGGAGCGAGATCGGTCGAAAGTTCTTGGCTTCGTTCGAGTCCTTTCCTGGCTTGAGGATAGCGACGACTTTGGTTCGGAGCCACTGTTTTGGGACACATGTGTTCTCGATGCAGTTGTTAAACATGTCTAGCAGCCATTTCTGTGCTACAGAGCCCATGTGTTTGATCTGCTCCGATCTGATGTCATCGATGCCTGCCGCCTTGTTGACGTGTAGCGTGGAGATACCTTTCTGTAGTTCTTCTTCAGAAATAGGTCTTGTGAAAAGAGACATGTTCTGGTCAACTCCAGGTAGTTTGTGCCTGTGTGAATTAGTCGTCTTGGGGGCCTTTCCATTTTTCAACAGCTGATTTGCTACTTCGTCAGCCGTAACATTATAATGCTGTTGAGCTCTGGTGCTGTCAATTCCGAGCTTGCGTATGGTGGCCCACGCTTTCCTGCTGCTGTGTCTTAAGTCTGTTGTTTCAATCATGTGCTGCCACATCTGCCTATGTCGTTGAGATATCCTTGATATAAGCTCTTCTCCAAGGTTGATGGTATCCTCTGAGAAGGCATCTGTGTCATAGGCTGTGGTGTAGTTTGCCAGAAGCTGACTTGATTCCTCATCGATTCCTGGAATGTATGTCGTGCGGCAGCCTCTTGGGATATGTGTACGTGACACCTTCTTGACTATATCTATGAAGGATTCATAGTTCTTTGGATCTGCAGGGAGATGTGTTAGGGCATGATCAAGGTGTTCGGTGAAAGCAGGCCAGTCTGCCTTAGCAAAGTTGAACCTGCGCTTGAACGGGGTCTTGTTTGGTGTGATAACTGCAGTCAGTTGAATGCCGATGGGTCGGTGTTGGGATCTTGGAATCGGCTCAGCTACAAACTTACGACTGGTGGGAGCAAGCAGCCTGCTGCAGAAAACTAGATCCGGGTTGTAACGTCTCTTCCAGCGGGCACTGGCGAAAGACTTTGGGAGCTTTGGATCGTGGATTAGTTTTAGGTCGTTGTTTTGGGCCCATGTTTCAACTAGTGCTCCATCATCTCCAGTGGTATCATATCCCCATTGCGTGCTGTGGCTGTTGTAATCGCCAATTACAATATGCCTATTGGTAGTGGTGGAATGATACGAAAAACTTATGTTTGGTGGCTTGTAGATGGAGGAGATCGTTAGTCCTTTGATTGTCACATTCAGCACTTCGATGTCGTTATTGTGGGTATAGGATGTAGAATCCGGTCTGATCTTCTCGTTCATGAAGATAGCACTTCCATATTGGCGATGTGGCCGCTCGATGGCAAGCTTCATACCCTTGATCTTGGGCCGTGGATTGTCGCTGCCGCGGTGAGTCTCTTGAAGACATAGTACATCGCAATAATAATAATAATAATAAGTAAAATAAAGTAAAATATCCGTACTACATATTGTTTCATTTCATGGATGTGTGTATTCTACGTCACAATAGTCGTACAACATACACCGTATGTCCAGAATGAATAGAGTCGAGATGATGAAAGTATGAAATAGAGTCGAGATGGTGAAAGTATAATATAGAGTCGAGATGGTGAAAGTATGAAATAGAGTCGAGATGGTGAAAGTATGAAATAGAGTCGAGATGGTGAAAGTATGAAATAGAGTCGAGATGGTAAAAGTATGATATAGAGTCGAGATGGTGAAAGTATGCAATAGAGTCGAGATGGTGAAAGTATGAAATAGAGTCGAGATGGTGAAAGTATGAAATAGAGTCGAGATGGTGAAAGTATGAAATAGAGTTACGGAGTTGATATTAGAGTGTTAGACCTCTAAAAGAGAGTGGGTGCTCTAGAAAAGTTGGTGATAAAGCATAGATATGAATGATCCGCCAAATGTGGCGTTACGGTATGTTACGGCGCTAAACTACGGATTTATGGTGTGTATGTTTACTGTACAATTATGTTAACTTTTTTTAATTAAAATGAAACATATTTACGATTAAATAATACATTAATGTGACTTGGGTTCTATTTCTCTAGTTAAAAATGTTTTGTATATTTTATCTCTCTTCCCTAGTTACATGACTAAATTACAATTCTTATCTTTGTATTCAAATCTGTTTTGATGATGTTTTAAGAGAGTCCAAACATAGCCCTGAACTATAATTATCAAAGTGTTGTGTGAAAGTCCAAAGAACTGGACGGTATGAACAGGGCGGAGTAAAACGAGCTTCGTTTGTCGAAAGGCTATTGAGAGGTTCATAAAGTCAATGCACGATCAATAAGAAACAACGGTACTATTACTGAAACGTAATTCAAATACAAAAGACACCCACCGTTATACAAAAACATACCCTTTACACATATAGGCTACAATACGCTTCCCCGTGTTGCCATGCGAGGATCACAGTATGGGTAAATACACATTCCTTTATTTATTTGATCGAACAATAGATATTGATCCAACCTACAACGGCTTTGTAAACGTTCCTTAGAAAGTCAAACACAAAGTATACCGGTAGAAAGAAAGTCAAAAAGTCAAAATTCCATAGACACACATGTTAAAAGTCAGTTCCAAAAAAGAAAATACCTATCATGCACTATTCAAAAGGTTAATAATTCCTAAAAATCTTTAAGTAAAATTCAAAGTATCAAAATTCACATAGAAACACGTGTTATAATTCACTTTTTGCTTGAAAAAAAATTTAAGTCCAACAGAGAAAATCACTAAGTAAAATTCATAAAGTCACAATCACATTGACATGCGTGTTATAAGTCAGTTTTTTTCGAAAAAATTTTCAAGTCCAAAATGACAAATCCCTAATTAAATTCAAAAAGTCAAGACTTCGTCAAAACCCCATAAATAGACTATGTCAAAGTTAATGTACACGAGTCAATTAGAAATAGTATAAGTACGAAAAAATTCGTGTACAAAACCTATGGTCGTCCCGGAACTCACTGCTATAACTACTCATGTATCTCTTTCAAAAGTGTTTGAACTAACTATAATAATCCCACTTTCATTCAAATTGTATTTAAAATGTCTTGATTAGTAACTGTCCCTTATTACCTACACATGTAGGCATGGGTGTCGATCCCCCCGGGGGGGGGGGGGGGGGATGGGGGGGGGGAGAGGGGATATATCCCCCAATATTTCAGGTGGGGGGGGGATGGCCTGTACAATCATCCCCCCAATAATTCACATTAAAAACAAAAAATGAAGAGAACAATTAATGATGAGAGCACGATGAGAGTAGTTAATGGTTATTACTCGCAAGATGACCATCAATATACACATTTTGCTATGATTTGTAAGATAGTTCACTAGTTGTTATGTTGTTTCCGTTCATCCTTTTTAAAATTCACGTCATTGTATCTTTATTTGTTTGTTTTTTCACTCATTTTATTTCCTGATATTTCCTAAAACATTTTTCAAAACGCGCTAAAAGTTACAGTCGTAATTAATTTGTGCAATATTGCCAAGAAAAAAAAATTCAACAAATTCCTTAATGTAAAGAACTCTTAAAGGTAAAGGAAAGCATCTGGGCAAGAATATCCCATGAGTTGTGGCCAGTTGAATCTGAAGTGATTTTAAAGCTAAGTGGGGTTGATGATGCGTTATTTTTTCATAATGCAAGTAAAGTAATAAAATATTGTATTAAATGAAGAGAAAGACGGTTTTGTCCAAATGGCAGCATGTAGGACACGTAACTTCCAGTTTGTTCCCTGATCCATACTCAGTATCTATTTTGTTTTCATGATTTCATCCATTTCTTTGTTTATTTATATCTCTACATGTAAAACATTTGAAGAGCTATTTTCCGAAAGGAGCAAATCTTTTGATAGCAAATAGAGATAATGATAAACGTTTTCCTCTATTTACCTTGAACAAAATTATAAAGCTAAATTACGAGAGAAATTATGAACACATGCATCTTTTAATAACAATTTTCCATGGACACCTGAACAAAATCGGGTAAACAAATAGATCTTTCTTAAATTACACACATGGATCTAGTGCCTCTTGAAAATAAGCTCTCTGTATGTACTTAAACAAGCAATACAAGAGAATACTCCAGTTCGATATTTAGGAGAAAGATTATTATGTCACAACTTATTTTTGTTTTATTGAAAAGCTGATGTAGGCCTATGTATTGTATTCAAACGTAACAGGCATAAGATAATTAGGGTGTTTTTTAAGGTTAGAATGTTATTAATTTTGAAGTTTTATTTATAACACCCTTCCAATAATAATGCACCTTCTAAGACTGGTTGTAGTTTTTGAAGAAAAAAAATAGTGCTCTGGTCAGGGCCTTCAGATTTCTATGATTAAGATCCATGACTACATGTCCACAACGGTGCAACTTGTAAGAACTAAATCCTCACATTCAATTTTAAAAGTGTTCCGATGGTACCTTTCGGGAGGGACTTCAACCAGTGTTTCTAACCGAGTACTCCAATAGAAATGTCTTATTGTTAACCTACAGACTGTTCTAGCAACCCTTGCCAGAATGGATGGTGTGAGGATACTAAGAAGTCGTTCAGATGCCACTGTCACCAAGGCTTTCGGAGTCGTTTGTGTGATAAAGGTAATGGATATGTATTTTTCAGTCAAACCGACACCGCGACAACTGACCGAACAAAATATTACATTGTGCTAAATTGGTCTGTTTGGAATCAGTTTGGAGTCCGCTACTTGGCTTTGTGACCGAAGTATAAGTCGAATACGGAAAAGTGGAACTACGGCGAACACTGTCTTTTTCTGAGCAAAGTACTAATCTAAACCTATATGCTACAGATGTTTAGAACCTGAAATTTGTTAGACAAAATTCACCTGTTACAATGTGTGACTCAACATCTACCCCCGAAACTAAAACCCAAAGATCTACCCCTCAGACATGGATCAGCGGACAAGTACCTCAGGCCAGTTACCCCCGGTCATCTGTCTACTAGAGCGCTTTTATACTCGGACAAGACAGTATCCCCTAGACACATAACCCCCTTGCTAACATCAGTCTTAAACAAGAGATAATTTGTTGGATTATTTATCCAAGGGATGCTTTTATAGATGGTAGTTGTCAGGGAGGAGGGGGGGGGGCAAATGTCCAGGATAGTTTTCCTAGGATACCAAGAATAGTCCGGGGTTTAATAGTTGTCTAACAATTATCGATGTAGCGTAATTTCATTATTCCTGATAGTTGACATGTCTAACGTCACGCTAAGATATGTTCTAAAAACCTACTCACCCGAATGCCCCCTTCCTAGAATTTTTGTGAGGGGGGGGGGGGGGGGGGGGGAGTGGACTGACTGGTTATAATGTTGTTGATGATAAGAAAATAACGGGACGCATTGTAATTGTAGTAATTTTTCTCTCGCTCCACTTAATTTGGCTAAATATCAACATTATTAAATTGAACATCATAATCTATATTCCATCTCTAGTTTAATCAACATTGAATAAATCACATATTTCATATCAAATCTGTGAAAGAAGAGCAACTTGGCTAGATATCTCCAAATTCCACAAAAGGAGAGAGAAGTTATAAGATACAAGTAAAGAAATTCGATATCAACATAGTAGGATGATATGTGCATATATACCCCCACAATTTAATGTTTACCCTTATCCTTTTTTCAGTCGATGTTGACCCCTTACCAACTGGTGATGTTCCTGTTCCCATAGTAACCGTCGCATCTACATCCGTAGGAGGTAGGATGAATTGAGAGGACCAGTGTCTCCATCATGCAACAGCAGTTTGTTATTCACTCGCAAATGATGTTGCTCTCCTCTACATGGGGCCTCCTTTTAACAAAAAGGCTGATGTATATGAGGGTTTTAGTCAGTGGAATGGACGATTGTGATATTGATATGTAAAGTTACTACACTAGAATGCCCGCCTGGGTATACTTCTACTCCGATTCCAACAAAAGAAAGAAGAAACTGAAGTAGAAATTTAGACCAGAATGCTCAAGATAAGGGTATAGGATGACACATAATTTATCGAAAAATCAACCCATTGTTAGTGAAATAGACTACTCAATTACCTAGATACATGTATTGGAAAATCACAATGAAGTATTACGTGATGCAGATATGATTTTATCTGGCTCACTCAATATCTATGTGTGTGTTTATTTTTGTTCATTTTTTCCTTTCAATTCCACTTCCATACAGATGTCGATGAGTGTGATGTTCATTCAGACTGGTGTGATACGACTAATGGAGTCTGTACGAACTTGCCTGGTTCATTCAGTTGTTCCTGTACTGCTGGTTATGAGTTAGACATGGACGGAAGAACTTGCAATGGTAAGATACCCATATTTAGAAAATTTGGTCTTGATATAGAATACGGCATAACATTATGAAGGTAATTTAAGAGAAAATACAGGAATAACAATATCTTTGAAAGCATTCACAAGCCTATAAGGTATGATGATATGACATGAATATTGTTTAAAAGGATACTTTGAAATGTCTAAACCCTAATAGGTTATCTAGGCCACAAATATTCAGAGATAACTAAACACACTTAAATATTTTGGCTAAAAGAACCGAATCTTCTTATTCACCTTTTAAATTGATATCGTCACTATTGTATTATATCACTTATTTTGTTGGACCTGCACAACATGCATTCTTTGATGCACCATATTATTCAATATTATTTTCAATTAAAATTTCTTTTAATTGTTTTCAATTCCCCTTTCATATAGATGTCGATGAGTGTGGTGTTCATCTAGACTCATGTGATCCGACTAATGGTGTTTGTACAAACATGCCTGGTACATTCAATTGTTCCTGCACTGCTGGTTATGTGTTAGACATGGATGGAAGAACTTGCAATGGTAAGATATTCATATTTAGATTATTGTGTCTTGATATAGAATACGGCATAACATTATAAAGGTAATTTAAGAGAAAATACAGGAATAACAAAATCTTAGAAAGCATTCACAAGCCTATAAGGAATGATGATATGACATGAATATTGTTAAAAAGGATATTTTGAAATTTCTAAACCCTAATAGGTTATCTAGGCCACAAATATTCAGAGATAACTAAACACACTTAAATATTTTGGCTAAAAGAATCGAATCTTCTAATTCACCTTTTAAATTAATATCGTCATTATTTTATTGTATCACTTATTCTGTTGGACCTGCACAACATGCATTCTTTGAAGCACCATATTCTTCAATATTATTTTCAATTAAAATTTCTTTTAATTTTCAATTCCCCTTTCATATAGATGTCGATGAGTGTGGTGTTCATCTAGACTCGTGTGATCCGACTAATGGTGTTTGTACAAACATGCCTGGTACATTCAATTGTTCCTGCACTGCTGGTTATGTGTTAGACATGGATGGAAGAACTTGCAATGGTAAGATATTCATATTTGGAATATTGTGTCTTGATATAGAATACGGCATAACATTATGAAAGCAATTTAAGAGAAAATAAGGGAATTAAGAGAAAATACATGAAAATAAATCTTAGAAAGCATTCACAAGGTCTATGAGGTATGATGATATTGACATGAATATTGCTTTAAAGGATATTTTTTTTTACCCTAATGGGTTATCTAGGCCGGAAATATTCATAGATACCTATAACACACACTTTCATATTTTGGCAGCATGAAATAAATTATTCAATCCACCATTTAAATTGATATCGGCACTAAATTGTATGACTTAGTTTGATACTGTCCAAAACAGCATATGATTGGACCTGCACAGCGTGAATTCTTTGATACACCATATTCTTCAATATTATTTTCAATTAAAATTTGTTTTGATTGTTTTCAATTCCCCTTTCATACAGATGTCGATGAGTGTGATGTTCATTCAGGCTCGTGTGATACGACTAATGGAGTTTGTACGAACATACCAGGTACATTCAACTGTTCCTGTACTGCTGGTTATGAGTTGGACATGGATGGAAGAACTTGCAATGGTAAGATACTCATATTTAGAAAATTGTGTCTTGATATAGAACACGGCGTAACATTATAAAGGTATAAAGATATTGACATGATTTTTTATAAATAAATATAAATATATATATATATATTTATATAAATGTGTGTGTGTGTGTGTGAGACAGGGGGTGGGCTTTATAGGAACCAAGCATTTCAGAAATCATACAGCAGGATTCCTGTTGAGAATGAGCATACAAGCCCTTAATAACGTTGTTCATTTTTTAAGGGATATTTTACTGAGTTCTGAGACAAATGTATAACAGTTCAAATTCAGTTACGACAAATCATCATGGAGTTTGAATACAGTGTATTTTTTTAAAAATCAAATTACAGCGCAATCGACCGAAGTTCTATGAACCGAATACTTCGAACATCCAGTTTTTCCCTATTTGAGTTGGAACACGGTCTCGTGATATTCGAAATCTTGAAATCATGTTTAAAATCGCGATTCCATTGTAGCTTTTTATGTTAGCAATGTTTGGATTAAAATACGTTGCAGCATTATTTATGCTTCCTCTGCAGAAGGAGTTCTGTGTGGATCAGTGATGTGCGTGAATGGGGGTGAATGCGGAACGACCGAAGGCAACGTGAAGTGCCAGTGTCCGCAAGGATACGCAGGAGAAGACTGCGGTACCGGTAAGTAGATAGCCATAGGCAACTTCAACTTGTAGATCTTATACTATTCTGACTCTTTAACAACTCCGCCGCCGACGATAACAATAACAACAATGACAACAACAACAACATCGTTAAATTGTATTACTTTTAGGGCAAATTTCTAAACAGAGTTGAAATTCATTGCAATATTGTGCGGTATAGGTACGTCGGTTACCATAAGGGAACTAAAACTTGCAGACCTTTTACTATTCCAGTTTGCCATCACCAACAACAAAACCACCATAAAAACAACGGTAGTATATTGACAGTATTTTTTTTACGGGCGAATTTCTAACCAGAATTATTGTCATATTAAGAGGTGTATTGGTATAGTGGTTCATTACTAGACTCTCAATCCAATGGTTGAGGGTTCGAATCCGAACCCGGCACTATTAAACGTACGTTGGAAAGACATTAACCCATATTTCTACTCTTCACCCAAGTGTAAACGGGTACCTGGTAATTACTGGGGTAATCGTAATTGAAGGGCTCTCAAAAAGAACAGCATTGAAGTTAATGAGGCCTCCCTGGGTAAAAAAAAACCCAAACTTGATATTATCTATTATCTATTATTTATATTTTGAACATTTTCCCATGTCCACTTCAATCCGTACAGAGGAATTTCCTTGTGGAACTCGAATATGTATGTAGGAAAGGGAGTTAATGCCACAGGGCCAATGACAACGTGGAGGGTCAATGTCCTCGTGGACACGGAGGGTAATGCTGCAGTGGGTGTATAGGTACAGCAGGTAGAAGAAAAATAAAATCCCCGAAATTCATATACATTTAATGGCGACGAGAACAAATGAACCTTGAAGATCTGATAATCATCCACTGTACTGAGTAAAATTCTCATTGCTTAGGGAGTTGGATGTTGGACGCCTAGAACCGATAAATCCAGTCTTGGTCATTCGGTGTTATGCATTTTGGGGGGTTAGGTCCCCTAACTGTGGACCACATGGTTTGCTGTTTGATTCCATGCCCTAACGTCGTGTTGCAAGAAATTAATATACCCGTGAGGCTGTCCACCAAGGTGTAGTAAATAATAAGAATGAGTTGCCTGAATGTTTTGAGTGGCTTAGGGCAGCTGGGCTAAATCCAGGTTGATAATAGTATGGCGCCTTAAGCATAATAGGCGCCTCAAGCAGGAACTGGAGAGGATATGTGCACATTATGCACGTATATTCTTTTATTATTCAATTTCATATCGTTGACAGAACCTTTAGAAACGCGTTTGGTCAATGGAAGCGGTGCATTCGAAGGCAGAGTTGAGGTGTACTACCAGGGATCTTGGGGTACCGTGTGTGATGATCTATGGAACACGGTAAACTCCAACGTTGTGTGCCGATCCTTAGGATATATTACAGCAGCTGGCGATTACGTTACACGCACCAACGTTTTTGGAAATGGGACGGGGGATATTATCTTGGACAACGTCCAGTGTGTAGGTACTGAAACCAATATCGCCTTCTGTCCACATGTGGGTTACGGGAATCATAATTGTGGACACGATGAAGATGTTGGTGTCATTTGTGCAGGTAAGCGTTAGATTAAGAGTTTAAGTGATGCATTTACTCTAATTATAGTATTACCTCTTTGTGATATGCATTGGATTTTATAAAGAGGCAGCTGATAAAAACCTTCTATCATGATATTAGCTCACGCAGGACTTGTATGGAACATGGTGGTTGTGTCTTACAGGGGTGCACTCTCGTAATCACAGAACCCCCACCATATCCGAGGGTAGAATTGCATCTATGCAACAGCTGCAGCTTGACCGTATTAATATCCATCTGCCTCTGTTCAACCAGGTGTAGTAAATAGTAAGAATTGATTGCTTGCAAAGCCTTGAATGATCTAAGCATTGGATCTAAGTAGCTTAGGGCAGCTGGGCTAAACCAGGGTATTAATGGTAAATGTTGGAGCCGCCAAGCTGCAATCATCAACTGGTGTGGATATGTGCGGCATATCGCGTGTAGCTTTTCTAACATTGATATTATCTTGGTATTAATTAAGTTTGTATATCGTTGACAGAACCTTTAGAAACCCGTTTGGTCAATGGAAACGGTGCATTCGAAGGCAGAGTTGAGGTTTACTACCAGGGATCTTGGGGTACCGTGTGTGATGATCTATGGAACACGCTAAACTCCAACGTTGTATGCCGATCTTTAGGATATCCACAAGCTACCGATTTTTTTAGAAGTGCCGACAAATTTGAAGAAGGGACGGGGAATATCATCCTGGACAATGTCGAGTGCGTAGGAAATGAAACCAATATCGCCTTCTGTCAACATGCGGGTTACAGGAATCACAATTGTGAACACTATGAAGATGTTTGTGTCATCTGTGCAGGTAAGCGTTAGATTAAGAGTCTAAGAAGTGATACATTTAATCTAGTTATAATATTTCCTCTTTGTGATATGCATTGACTTTTATAAAGATGCAACGGATGAAAACCTTATGTCGTGATATAAGCCCCACTCAGGACGTGTGTGGGAGCATGGTTGTATCTAACAGGGGTGCACTCTCGTAATCCCAGAACCCCCACCTTATCCGAGGGTAGGATTGCATCTATGCAACAGCAGCTTGACCATATTACCTTACAAGTTCTACAAGCATCGTCGTCGCATTCAATGTATATGGCATCCATTTTCTGGACTTCTTTTTTCCCTTCAAGATTAACTATGGTTTGACCGACAACTACGCCTACATCTCAAATAAACGTACTTGTTTTCTTCATCCCACCCCTCCTAAAACGATAAGCAATGGAAGGGGTGTAACGGGCCTGGGTCCCCTTTTTACAGTCCCATCTTCGTGAATAGCTTTAAGTGCAAAGATATAAAAACGAATGCCCCCAATTTCAAGTGTTAAAGCTACTTTGAATGCACCTAAAAATGCAATAAACCTCTTTCCGTCAGAGATGTTTTGGTATTGTGCCCCACCTCTTTACAAGATCCACCCCTGGTGGCCAGTAAATACACTCTCCTTTAATTATGCATATTGAAAATGTATATCAAGTCTTGTGTTATTCGCCCCTTTTTTCTGGAATGATTTGTAGAGAGCCCCGTAAAGGGCTCAGTAGATGGAGATTTTTGTGGATCTGTGATCTGTCTCAATGGGGGTCAATGTGACATGACTAGTGATGCTCCGATTTGTACATGCCCTTCCGGATACGAAGGAGTAGACTGCGTTACAGGTATGTCGAAATCAGAGCCATCTATACGTAGAGTTTGACCAACTTGGTGTCATTTGGTCACAACATGGCGGATGATGGGGATGGGAGGGGGGGGGGGGGGTAGGCCTGTCTGGACACTTATCAAACATAAAGCCTTCTCCTTTGCCTTCAGATTGAAAGAAAAATATTAACAAAAAACCACTAGCCGCCACGAATAATTGTCCTTCATAATATTGTCCAACATAACTCCGATATGAAATATTGCTTTTAAAATTCTCCAAACCCCTGTTTAAAATCAACAGTCCGGACACACAACGTCTGGGTTTATATTATTTGTTTTTTCTTGCAAAACAAAGTAGTATTCAGAACTGCAATTGTATCAACCTTTGTCAATCCCATGATAACAAGTAAAACGTCATTGTCATTGATTGTTTTTTGGTGGAAAATCTATCGGGGGAGGTGAAATGAATCCCTTACCCCTTCGAACACGTAATACTAATAATAACCAGTAATAACTAAGTTTCATATATAATTCATTGTAGCTTCCTCGGCCTCTTCAGGTGGAGATGCATGTGAATCATGTTTGAACGGTGGTGAGTGCCTTACGACAGCTACTGATACTCAACTATGCAACTGCCCTCCTGGCTTCACAGGACTATATTGTGAGACAGGTAGGTCGATTAAACCGTCGATCAAACCGAATTATTTGAAACTATCTGACAAGAAAGTCATTGAGCCTTCGGGTGGTGGGATTTTGAAAATATTTTAGACGGGAAGAGGAGGAGAATTTACTCATAGCCCCTTCAAATATATATATGAAATCAGTACATTTATGTATATATGTACAATTTACAGTCCACGCATTGGCTAATATTAGACTGAAATAATGAGTCAAAAATTTGGTATTTTATTTTGTATAATGTATATATATATATATATATATGTATGGGGCGCAGGGAAAACTCATTGTCCCTTCAAATACACTCGCAATCACTACCATCATTTATATCTTTCCGATTTTTTTTCTCCTTCTAATGCTGATTGCGAGTGTGTTCTAAATCCCTACATATGCATATTCTTTTTCTTCTCGAGTCACTACACAAAGCCGGTCCAGTGGAGGACGCGTGATCTGGCGTTGGAGCTGAAAACTTCTAGGTCTTTGGGTAAAGGGTTCTGGGAGGAAGGGGGCAGAGCGAACTGTGTTTCATCGTCTGTTCCTCCCCAAAGTCGCACCTAATATGCTTATTGAACGATCTTCTGAATCTTCAATTTCTTCAATTTCTGTTCCATCTAAAAACAATTCATTGTAGTCCTAGTTTCCCCGACGGACTCTTCTGAAGGTGTTGCATGTGGATTACTGAATTTGATGTGTTTGAACGGCGGTGAATGCCTTAAGACAGCTGCTGGTCATCAATGCGACTGCTCACCTGGCTACACAGGTGTAGACTGTGCGATAGGTAGGTCTATCAAAATGTAACATTTTATACCATCTGACTAGAAAGGTCTTGTTTGATTGGAAATATCTTCCGATGGGGGGGGGGGGGGGGGAGGGGCAGGGGGGCTTACAATAACCTCCCTGCCCTTAAAATACGATGGTTATTCCTTTACGAAGGAACAAGTTTGTGCTAAAATTCGGACAAAAATCAATTTGACAAAAAACAAAGGAGGTTTATGTACGTCATAAATTATGACGCGTTTCGATGCGTTTCAGACATCAATAGACAAACAATTCATGTTTGGGAGTGCATTAGTGTATATGCACTGCACGGTAAGCCGACACTTTTTGTTGTTGTTGGTAGTCCCCCAAAAAATTGCAACGACTCAGCCAGCCGCTGAATAAGCGGGGGGGGGGGGGGGGGCTAAGAGGACACTTTTTTTCTCTTTTTTTTAGTCTCGAAATTTGAAAAATTGACATTTTTCTTTGTTGGGTGGGGTAAGGGCACCTTTTTTAGGTCAGCCATGGGAATAATTTTTCTTCTTTTTTTTCTTCTTCTTTTTAATAATTAAAAAATATTAAAAAATAAATCTTAAAAATCCAAAGGGGGGGGGGGGGGGGGGGGGGGTTAGGTTTTTTTTTAGGGGAGTTTACACACATAAAAATACCAAAGGGGAGGGGGGGGTAAACGCCCAGCCTCCCCCCCCCCCCCCCCTGCGTACGCGCCTGGTACCATTGATACCTGTTGCCAATTCCCATTTATTTATATACAGTGCGTCCCAGAAAAAAACGAAACCGAGAATTATCGATGTTTTATCATAACTTAATCACATTTATAATTAATAAATGGTACATATTTGGAAAGCTTAGATCCTCCTCTTTCATTTGATGCAACTCATATGATGCATATTTCACGCATGAGTGATTAAAATGAATTTGAAGAGAGGAAACCAAAAAGTCATTTGGCGGAAGGTGTCAATTTGAAAGAGAAAATAACATTTCTAGAACATTGAGTTTCTGCCCTTTCATATGACACCTCAATCACGAAAAATGAGCTAGGAATAACAAAATTCTGTATGTTTAAAGTAGCGCTTGCATTTCCATAATTTTGTCAAACAAATTCGTTTTCACTGGCTCCCTGCCGTAGCAACTACATGATTTTACAAAAGACTTAACTCCGTTTCGTTGACAATCAGCCATGCATGATGTCTTTCGTCTACGGCTGATTGTCAACGAAACGGAGTTAAGTCTTTTGTTAATTACGTTTGTTGCTACAGCAGACAGCCAGTGAAAACGAATTCGTTTAATAAAATTATGGAAATGCAAGCACTACTTTAAACAAGCAGAACTTTGTTATTCCTAGCTCATTTTTCCTGACTGAGGTGTCATATGAAAGGGCAGTAACTCAACTTTTTAGAAATGGGATTTTTGTCTTTGAAATTCAGATACCGTCCGCCAAATGACTTTTTATTTTCCCCTCTTCAAATTCATTTTAATCACTCATGCGTGAAATATGGATTATATGTGTCAAATCAAATGAAAGAGGAGGATCTAAGCTTTCCAAATAATAATGTGTCATTTATCAATTATAATTGTGATTAAGTTAACCCATTGCTTACTGGAACCTGGTGGTCCCTGTGTAAAGCCTATGGGAATAAGATAATTCAGTAGTAAACGGGTTAAGATAAAACATCGATAATTCTCGGTTTCGTTTTTTCTGGGACGCACTGTATAGCCAGACACTGATCCTATCCGTCTGCAATCCTGTCCATTAATCAGCACCGACCCCGTATTATGTAAGACGGCGCTATTTCAGCGCTTTTGTCATCTGTCTCAGGATTGGCTATCTATTACGTCAGCGCCGATACATAAACACTCTACAGAAAATATCTAAAGCCAAAATTTAATAGATGATTTTTATACTCACACATTATTTTACAAAGAGTAAGAATCGTTAACAGCTATTCAGATGAATTATATACTCGTCAGAAACATACAGTTTTTGTGTCAATGAATATGAACACTTTTAAATACTTCTTTAATTTCCACCTTCTTTCCGTGCAGCCGGGGATGATGATGCTGTTACGGGTGAAGACAAGATCTTTTTGACGGATATCACTGCTAGAAAGGTTTACGTTGCCGATTTAGAGATCTACACATTCACTGATTAGAATATACTTTTTTTGGTGGACAGTTGCTAAAATCGATTTTGATTTATCATTGATTTACCAATAGAAGCCATTGGACCAAGAGTAAGAATCGTTAACAGCTATTCAGATGAATTATATACTCGTCAGAAACATACAGTTTTTGTGTCAATGAATATGAACACTTTTAAATACTTCTTTAATTTCCACCTTCTTTCCGTGCAGCCGGGGATGATGATGCTGTTACGGGTGAAGACAAGATCTTTTTGACGGATATCACTGCTAGAAAGGTTTACGTTGCCGTCTTAGGGATCTACACGTTCACTGCCCTGAACGAAGATGATGATCCTATCGAAGCGTGGGACATCGCGTTCGATGAGACCAAACAGAAACTCTACTGGACCAACAAAACTGACAACAAGATTTACCGTGGCAACTGGGATATGACAGAAAGAATACCTGTGTCGCACGGAAATTACTCAGGTATCAGTTGACGTAAATGATTAAAAGAAGACATTACCAACTATCATACCGCTCAAGCACTCGCAAGGAATTTCTTTTCATACCGGTTATCTATTTTCGTGACGACACGATTATCGCTTTCCTCTTCTTGTACACTGTTATATAATATGAATGCAGGAACATCAGGAAGAATGATGTTAATATCAATGAGGCTGCCTTGGGTAAACATTATTATAATTATGGTTATTATTATTATTGTCATTATTACCATTATGTTTATCATCATTATCTGTATTATCATTATTATTATTATCGTATTGCAGATCCAACTTCGATCTCCATCGATGAATCGAGAGGCCAGATCTACTGTGCATATCTAGGGGACCAGGTGATTACTCGCATTGATCTTGATGATCCAGACTCGGAGATCGATCTTTTTGGCCAGCTGACCAGACCTAGCGCAGTAGAACTGGATGAAACTAATGGGTAATGCTTAAATTAAATGGAAATCCAACCTTGATAGCACACTACTCTAGAGAAGAGCAGAAAACTCAGAAAAGTAGACTGGTGAAAGTTTGAACGAAATCGGACTAACAATAGGAGTTTATGAATTAAAAAAAATTGTTATCACTATAGGTTTGGTCTATTCAAATTGGCTGCATCAGTAATGTCTATGTAATGTATTTACAGAGGATTTCAGTCTCCCATTTGTCCCAATACCCCAAATGACTAAAGATTTCAATTTTACAAACTTGTATAACCCGGGAGGGTCTTTTCTCCTTAGAGGACCTATAATAATATGCTGTCCGTAATATATTTTGAGGAGTGCCCAAAAGAAGAAGGCATTTAGGAGAAAACAGAAATTAATTATATTTCTGTACACGTCACATGGGAGAGTAGTATCAGCGGCTACGTCACAATCCACTGTCTAAACCGTCAGTTTGAGATCCACATAGACTTAAACATCTCATAATTGTGTCAAGCATTCATAGCTTAACTTATTATTGATCTGATTTATTTCAAACTTTCTAACTACAGGTTATCTTATTTTTTTAATCTGCTTTCATACAAATCAACTTATCAAAAGTGTTGGATTGCCCTTAACGAGACGGTTGAACTGAGTTTTGGTCATGCGATTATACATTGTACAAGAATTAACCAATTCGACAAGCGATGATATGAAAGGATCAATTCCCTCACAGAATTTAAAAAGCAGATTAGCCTCTTTACAGTATAATAATAATGATGAAAATAAAAAGTAATAACAATAGTATCCTAATAACAGCGTTACTTCTACTACTACAACTAATCATTATCATCGTCATCATCATCGTCATCCTTTATTAAAGTCAGCATTTAACTCTTACGATAGTTTACTGATTTTCGTGCCATGATGACACTCCCCCTTCTTCTTCTGGTCGCGAGCATCATCCACATCCTCCTCACTACAACTAATACTATTACTACTACTACTACTACTACTACTACTACCACCCCGACCACCACCACCACTACTAATACTACTACTACCACCACTACTACTACTACTACTTCTACTACCACTTCTATTACTACTACTACTACTACTACTACTAGTGATATTAACCTTTTTTGTAACAAACACAATCTCCTCACGCAATGACACTACTGGTAGACTAAAATTAACATCGCTTCAATAATAGCCGATTCGCTAATAATGTAGTGCTCAAGCAAATATTGACCAGTTGTCTTGATATAGGCCTACAACTTTTCTTTCAGACATATTAAAGGGATACTGAACTGATAAACTTTCTACCCTGGCGTAGTGCTTTATTGCACAGCGCCGTCTCATGATCAGCTAGGGAAGCTTAAGACTTAAGATTTGCGCTAGAGGGAATATTACGGTTTTACCTCTAGTACAGTATAGCGTTAAATCGAGCACCACTGGTCAGGGAAAAATATCGACTACAATAAAATGAGCCCCTTTCTATTCACATACACAGATTCTTCTTACGAGTCCTTACGAATCGACAACTCGTATTCAATCGCAAGCATCCATAAATTACTCGCTGGTATCCGTAAATAACTTGTCACAACTTGTCACAACTCGCAACAACTTGCAGACACTCTTAAGGATCCGATCCATGTCAAAAATCTTCTTAATATCCCCTTCACATACACAGATTTTTCTTACGAGTCCTTAGGTAAAAGTCGCCAATCGTAAGGATCCGGGAAAGATCCGTGAATTTGCGCGATCTGTAAGGACTCGTAAGCAAAATCCGTGTACGTGAAGGGAGTATTATATAGAGAGGACAAATTGACTGTACACGACATTATTATTTTCTTTCTTTACAGATATCTGTATTTCACTCAGACTGGTAGAGTTTACCGCTGGACTGAGTCCAATTATGACAAGTTATACAGCAATTACCCTGACGTCAATGATATCGACGCAATCGCAATAGAAGTACCAGGTCAGTTAAAGGCATTGTTTAACAATGTTAAATCTGAGATGACGGCCCTATGTGTTATCAGTGTCTGTGATATGGTGTAATATTAAAGACCTAAACAAAAATTGTGCTTCAAAATAATCAAGAAGTGCCTCAAAAAAGTAAAAATCTTTGAGTGACCGGTTTTACCATACTCGTTTTCCCCAATAGACTGTAGTGTTATGAAAACCGTTGTAGGAAAACGCAAAATTTGATTTCGATTTCCAATCATAAATATCTTGATAATCAGATAGGCGAGAGGCTTGTAAAAGTCATGGGGCTCCTGACTAACCTAAAGGTTTATAATTATCATTGCGCATGAGCTAAATTCAGGATTTTGTTTCAGATCTGAGGCAAAGTTATCCAATCCCTTTAAGAGATAACCGTCCGCCCATTGCATACGATGCGTCATTTGGTTGATGTAGGTCTGCGTCAGGAAATGGCGTGGTCGTTACCACACCGTGTGAGTGTAACATCGTACAAATGGGAGATGAAACATGAATAGTCCAAGCAATGTGTTGAATTACTGACGTATGGGCTAATAGCGTTCAGGCATGGCTCGAAGAACGCTGCTATAATAACGCAACGGGAGTTACGCCTCTTGTAAAACGGCAAGGCATCAAGGACGAGTCAGGTAGAGGCACTGCCTGAGAAAGGTGTAGGTGTGTGTGCGTGTGTGTGTGTGTTTATGGGAGGGGGAACGATCAGCAAAATGTTAAAAAACAATGATGAAAACTTGCTGAAAATCACGACTTGCTTGCAATTCCTATCTTGATTGTCTGCTAATTACTAAATTCTTTCTATCAGCATCGTCATTTATTAACATCGAATATAATTCAATATAAGTGTAATTTCAATATGCGAAATAAGACTTCCAGTTACCCCATAGATCTCGAATATTACCTCTTAATAATTATGCTCGTTCACATATTAAGACATAAACCGGAGGGGTTCATCACAGTGTTTTTTGTAAAATGTTGTTTGTGAAATGTTTTTTGAAAATTTCGCTTCAAATTACAATCTCACACGCAGATTCATCTAAAAACAAAGAAACAGACCAAATAACTTAACTAACAAACAAACAAACACGAACAAATTACAAACATAAAAACACGAGAAACAATTCAACAATTTGTAAACGAGACTTCTCTTTGTCTTGGCAGCGAACCGGTTAAGCGTGTGCGACTACGGCAACGCCAAGGTCATCACAATGGACTTGAATGGAAACGATCCTAAGGAGGTAGCGATCCTGTCAGACTACAAAATATCCGACATCCTACTCTACAAAGGGGCCTACTACATGAGTCATTCAGGCGCCGAGGATGGGCAGATGACGTTACTGAAGTATGCTCTCGATTCTGAATCCCTTCTCAACGTTTTCAATGATTCCGACCATCTATTTGGTCATGTGAAGAAAATTCAAGTTGCCAATGTCGCTATGTCGAGCCTTAATTGAGCGATGAAGAACGAATGAACCCACATGTTGTGTGTCCGGACAGGTTTGTTATCGAACAATTGATTTCAAACAGCAAGAAGTGCAATATTTGCAATGCCAATGTTTCCTAAATCTTTTTTTTAACTTAAGACTCATTCAGAAATGACGCAATAAACCTGAAAATTGATGACAACTGTAAATACAGCAATGTGATTTTTTGGTGAAACTGCCCCGGTTTTAATTTGCCGAGGCTTTAATTGTTGGACTATATTATAAAGGACAGATATTTGTCATGATTAGTGTTATGTGATGCAAATTTTTCTTAAAATTCAATGGCAAAAGTGAAAGCTTTATTTTTTGTTTGGCGTCCGGACACACAATCCACGTCATAAAGTTGGGGGAAACTTCTTCGATGATTTACACAATTCGTTTATTGTGTGAAAATCAATTGGGAAGATAACCTTGGCAGTGTTTGTACAAATATGAAAACTTTTGTGTTTGACATTAACATATAATGTAGATAAAATGATACACATATGTAGATCAAATGATTATGTGTAGATCAAATGATCTCAATTTTCGAGATTTTATAATTTTTATTTCATTATTGTCCGCTTTCTTTCAAATTTTGACTCAGCGATTTCTCTTTTTTCTGATGTCCAACTTGTTACACATGTTAGTTTTACCATAAGATAATGGAAAACTGGCCTATTTTAACTATTATTTATGAGCTAACACATAAAAAAGTAGAACATCTTCTTCTTAGTTGATCCCTTCACTGGAGATTCCTGGAGTCCAAATAAAGTAGACGTGATTATCCAACTGGTTAATCGTTTTGGATAGCATTAGAACGACATGCATCAATTTTGAATAGAAAAACAGGGATAGAAGAGGGAGGCTATTATGAATTTCGGATGGCAGGCATAGATGGAAGGGTAACAGAGTAGCAGGGGTAAATTGCTGCGGGTCATTATCATCATACAAGTTTAAAGAGATGGGATAATCCACGAGGCATCGCTGTTGATATTTGCAAGTGATAATGTTTTATACGTACATGTATACAACCAGAAAACCCATTGCAATATCTTAAAGCATTTTGACACCTCTTTGAACGCGCATACTCGAAGTGTTGATTTATACGCTTTACTATAAGCCCATACATACTTTTCGCTGTATATAGAACAAGTTATACCATTTACTTATCTCTATTTTTATGCTTTTATTAATTTTCCGCACAATCATATAAGATTAAATTTATTAATTAGTTTGTATCATGTTTTGTATAGGAGTGGTAAGTATCATGCAAACCTTTTATATACAGTCAAATGGACCTGCTGGACCCTGATTCATAAAACTTGTCACGACAAACAAGTGTCACTTTTCTATGACAAACTCGCTCTGGCCAATCGACAAAAATAACCTCAGGTAGTTAATATTTCACTTTTTATTTGAACTAACAAGGGGAAAATCGAACAGATGATGAAATATGAATACAAAAGCCTAATAGTGTCAGGAAATGTGCTTACATTGTATAAACGCAGTTTTAATTTGTCAAAAATAGTAAAATGTTACAATCCTAAAACCTGCAATTTGACACTTTTCCGATTATTTATTTATTATCCATCTCTTAAAACTTCTTGCTCTGGCCAATCGAATTCAACGATTCCATTAGCTTGTAACAGTTTTTTTAATATTAGAACTTTTTATTGATAGCAAGTTTTATAAAACTGGACTCCGGATTTCTGAAATCCAGCTTAATATTTTGTTTAATATTTTTTTCTCAAACCATGCTGGATGTGGCTCATTAAGTTTAATTTTTTGTTGTTGGTTGTATCAGACGTTTCTTTAATAACGAAATTATCTAATAGTAATCTTTTCTATAATTAAGCGTAAAAAGACATTCTGATAACGTATTCGTGTTTTAATCTTTAGAATAGATCATGATGGCCATGATATATTTCAGTCCACAATACGACAGGGCATCGTCAAATTTAATTTCAAATATCTGAGGCAAGCTTACTACCATTACAAATTTGCATCCTAGTTGAAATAACACGAAGTTTATTGTAAATACTTGCACATTAGATATGACTTAATAATCTACAGCTATAAAAAGCTTAATGCTTTTTGTTTATATAAATCATGTTCATCGATCGATTGTTACGTCACAAAGTGGCCAATGCAGGTTTCGCTGAAGGATCTATGACCTTTGATCTTCATGGTTCTGTGATCATAGCGTAACAATAACATTTTTTCTCAGTTATTTTCCGGCTAAATAAAATTTTCGAATAGGAATTATTGATTCCAATACACAGGGTAGTGTTAGAAACAGTGCCATCTTGAGTTGCTCAAACGTGGGTATATAGAGGGCAGCACACGGACGAGCGATACCTATACCATGTTGCGGATTTTTTACGCACGGGAGCGTAATACTTGTTGGCTCAGTGTTATGTAGTGATCGCCAACTTGCCTACTTCACGTTCGATTTGCTGTTTGTAATTTAGTTTTTAAATATCAAATTTACTGATGTGTGATTAATTGAATACATTTAAACATGCACTTTAAAATAGTTCTGTAAAATAAATGTATTTTACAATTTAATATTGCAAGTTTTATTTGATATGTTATGGGAATTCGAAGATTATATTATGTATTATGGTCAATATCCGGGCGTGGTTAGATCACGTTAGCGAGCACGCAACGTACGCGTACATGATATTTCACTTTGAATGCACTGTACGTACACTGCAAATGTTCATGCAGACTTCCTAGGACTGCATTATGTACGATAATTATGGTATTACGCGCGGTACTCCGAAACCGCTCCGATGTACACACTCAGTTTTCTTCGGGAGAGAATGGCGGCGTCCGTGTGCTGCTCTCTATATACCCAAGCTTGAACATCTTTAAAGGTAAAGACCAGTATTGGAAACGCCCCAATTTCAAAAAATGAAATGGAAGCTCTTATTACCAATCATGTGAAAGAATATGTTTTGACTAATACAGTTTTGCCGGGAAACCGCCTATTGATATATTTGGTAAATTAGTTTATCTATTGAGAGATAAACGCACGTGTCGCGCACGTGTGCGTAGTCACATATACATCTTTCTGTGTACAGTGCTTGTAACTTTACCCAGACTGGGCCAAATATCTTATTATTAAGATGATGATTCCAGAACCTTGCAGTACACACCGATACTTATATGCAGTGATCAACCTTTTCTGATCGGTTCCACAGCGTTTCTTTCACAATGCAATCGCATGACCATAACTGGTCTTTATCTTTAAAGTCGGGTCGTTCATCACGAAATCTAATTTTCCTCTTTTGAAATTCATTAATTTATTTTATATTTTAAGTGTCGTTAAATTCAATGCTGTGTGCCTGTGTTTTATTTGATGCGGGTGTGTGCGGATGTGTGTGTTCTTTTGTATATGTGGGGTGGTGTTTTGTTTGGGGTTGGGTAGTAGCGAAGGTTTTTATAATTTGTTTTATATTATAACTCATTTCATTCCACAAAACAATTGATTGTAACTTACGAGTTGTAATAATAGTAATAATAGTGCGATCTGTACAGCGCTCATATCTTTAATACTTGACACTCCTGGCGCTCCGCAATCATTACACCGGCTTTCAAGTTCAAGTTCAAGTCCAAGTACACATAAATATGATATAAAATTTTACATAAAAAAGAGACTGGTTATAGTCCATTAATGAACATATATTAACTTGATTACATCATTAAATGAATGGTTTTAGGACGTAACGTATCTACAAGGGATGAAATACTAAGCTACAGAATAAACAACACACAAAACACTCACACACACCCGCGCGCACGCACACATACACACAAACCACACACAGCAAACACATCGATGAGTAGGTCCTTAGAGGTCAAATTATTAAGATTCCAAAAAAAATGATGTCGGTCTTTGAAGCAGATACGTTTGAGATAACCTAAGTTTATTGAATTATGTTATTGTGATGAAAAGAAGTGTATTCTAAAGAATAATTTGTATTGTTCTGATATTATATGAAATAAAATTGAGAATATGTGGGAGGGTGCGTGTGTATTTTAAAAGGGAAATTATGTGTTTGCTGTTCCAAATACACCAAGCAAACTATCAGCGAATCGGAATAGCCTTTTGACATTCCTTTCAAGAGGGAAACTCCTGCAAGACTCATTATTCAATTTTAGTCTGCCAATGACATATAACAGAAGTGAAAAAAGGAAACAAAATTCAGGATTCTCTCTATTAAACTCTAACTGACATCAAGGTCCACCACCCTCAACAAGATTACAGATATGTATATCTATAATGTGAGTCATGAAATAAGTGAAATAAGTAGCAAATCCAACCTCAAGTTTTGGTTGCAATACAGAAAGAAAGAAATAAAAAAATATTGTAAATACCGACTTTCATTTATACATTTAGAAACTTTGTTTATTTGGGGACCATTAACACATACCACACAAAAAGATACCAAACGATTTAGGATATAACACTTTTTCAAAACATGTATGATAACCTTTCGTTTATAGCTGAATTTTAAAATAAATGAAAATTTTCTGAGTGTAATTTTTTTTTTTACTCACACGGTTTACCTCATGATCTTCTTTTTTTAGAACTCATGTATGTAATTGACAGGTTTATATTGATGTTTATAACGGCGTAGCGTTTAAATCTGAATCATGTATTTCTGAGTGGGTAGATTGTGAAATGTGGAGTGATTATTGCGTGTGTGAATTACAATTCTATTTCTTCTTTCTCTCTCTCTCTTTATTCTCCCCCTCTTCCCTCTCTTTCTCTCTCTTTCCCTCTCTCTCTTTCACTCTCTCTTGGTTCGTCTCCATCTTACTACTCTATTCAAATCCTGATCCTAAATATATTGAGGAAAATCTCAGTGAACAGCTGTCTACGTGTGTCGATTGGATGACTGATAATAAGCTTTCTTTACACTTGGGGAAAAACAGAAAGCATTTCGTTTTGTTCTAAAAGTAGTTCTAAAAAGTCATACGAATTCAAAGTGACACACAATAATCAAGTAACCAAAAGGAAAGATTCTGTAAAGTATTTAGGCATTGAGTTGGCTAGCGAAATTTCATTTTCATCTTTAGTAGAATCAGTTGTAAACAAAAGCAAATTCTCGTCTGAAATTTTCGTACAGATATGTATGGATTTAAAAGGCAAGACGTACACTCTGTTTTGCTCTTATTCAATGTTTATTTGACTATGCTAACACTGCATGGTATAGTAACATAAAAAAGTCAGATCAAAAGAAGTTGAAGATTATACAGAACAAAATGGTGAGATTTATCAACTGTTCTGGTCCAAAAACTCATGTTGGCTACAGCGAACTATCTAAAGCTGGTTTTCTTGAAGGTGACCAAAGATCAAAACAACTCGTATTGCATCACGTGCATAAAATATATCATACTAGGTCGAATCATTATATTCGATTCAACTTCGATCTTGTTACTGACGTACATGATTATAATACAAGAAATAGCCGATTCAACTTTAACTTACCAGAAAGAGTAGGTAGTATTGGAAATTCGTTTCACTACAATGCCATAAAACATTGGAATTCCCTTCCCAATGGTGTAAAGGAAATAGAAAACTATGCTCATTTTAAGAGGAAATTAAAGGAATACCTAATACTTGACAGTCAGAGAAGAGAAGTGAATGACATGTTATATGATTGAAATTTGTATTCTTCTGCCGGTTCATACTTTTTCATTTTGTATATACTTATGTTTTCGTACGTTATAGAAATTCTACAAATTCATCATTATTTTCCTCTTCTTCTTCCTTCTCTTTTTCTTCTTCTCCTTCTTCTTTTTCTTCTTGTACTTATTATCATTTCTATCATCAGTTTAAAGTTGTTACTATTAACTTATTAATTTTATACATGTCTGTATTAAAGGGACCCCACTGGAAATAAGCTCTCAAGCTTTCGTGGGATATCCTGTTCAAGCTGACTTATTTTTGATCTGTTAGTATTGTATATTGTTGTATGTTTGAAGCTTGTCGAATAAAAATCAATCAATCAATCAGAGTCTTCTTACACCACGCTTTTTCTCTCTTCCATACACTCTCCAATCCAATCCTTTCTTGTTTTCTGTGAAAAGCGATTTACCCTCTTTCTTTCTTCTTGCACACCTCTTATCCGACTTATTCCAATTTACGTGAATGAAACTCTGACGCGATAATTTGAAAATGTAAATGGCTTTCAAAATTATTTTATTCGATTTCTTGCGATGTACCCCCTTCCACCATTTCTCAACAACAAGAACATTTTGAATCTCATGAGTTCAATCAGTTATAGATCGAACTTTTTCTTTTATACATATGTACAAAAACATATTATCTGTTTGTCATCCTCTAAAAGTGTGTCTATTTATCATTATGTACACACGTACAATAAACACAATGCATAACTCTATTGCACAGTCAGTGTTGGTACAAGTCGAAGGGATACATATTTTCTTCAATTTACAATTTCCGAGGCTTATGAGAAAAAGAAACAGCTAGTAATATGTTATGTCTTGAAATGTCTGCATTTTTGAGAAATCTCAATTTAAGAGATTTTTTTTTAAAATCGATATTATTTGTTACCATTCGAAATGTTGGGTCACAGTTGGTTCACTAAATTGTTGATATGTCAACAATGAAACTTAGTATGGTCAGTCTAGATGAAACTCTATTAATGCTGATTAATCTCACAATATACAACAATAGGAAATTATGAATAATAACAATGTGTTTGGATAAAATATCGATCTTTCTTGCCGGACAAATAAAACCAACGTAACTGTTGTCCTCCTGGAGCTTACAAGCGATTAGATCTCAGAACAACTAGATGCACACACACACACACACACACTCAAAAGATTTTCACCAAATGACCTAAACAACAATTGTTGTTACCTTTATATACAAAGCATCACAACTTCAATAAACATATAAAATCCATATAGCCGCGGATCAATTAGGTCTACGACATAACCTAGCAAAAAGTTTATCACATGATAAAACAGTAATTTAAAGCAAATCACGGTCTTACTGCTTAAATAAAGTAAAGACATGTTGTCTCTACAATTACTGATGAGATAGTTACAAACATTTGATGTTCTTACAACAAATTTCATATTCTACTGTTGCTGAGCTAGTCATATATATTCTTTGTTTCCACTTTATTCACATGCAATTATGTACACTCTCAGATATATTAACATAATTTTGTAAAGATATAACAAAAACGTGTGTAGAAATACGTGAATGAATGAATACATAGTGATTCCCTTTCTGAGATCATTATAATGTATAAATATATATATTAACATATTCAATATATTTAGGATATCAATAAAAAAAAAAAACGTTACAGCCGTCCTGCAAATCCATGAACATGGTAAATATATCAAAGAGAAATTCACCGGCTTTCAGATGATTCCAGAATTTCTCAAGGCAATCAAAGAGCCTGCATGAAGAGCGATTGTTTTCAATCCAGCCCGAACAAAGAGAATACACCTCTCACAATGTAACGCACACTGCAAGGCTCCACTTTAAATTCCCTTATTCAGTGTGTACTGCACACCAACTGACAAAAAGAATACAACACAGGCATTAATGAAACCGATCATCACAATATATACATAAAATGGAAAGAAGTTCATAATAGAGTTTAAATTGATAAGATGGAATGGTAAAAACAGTGTGCAGGACCGACGGATGTTTGAAATAAAACATGAAAGAAAGTGTAATAATAAAAAATCTTTGACAATTCATAAGATATCACATGGGTCTATATCCTATTAAGATCTACTGATCATAGAAATCTTTGACAATTTATAAGATATCACATGGGTCTATATCCTATTAAGATCTACTGATCATAGAAAAACCATAAACATAACATACATTGCATTATTGTGATGAGAAATAGATACGCATTCTAATGCTACTAAATAAAACGACAATAATCCTGTAAATCGAGAGATGTGTTCCATCAAACGCCATTTCCCAAACCATTTCTCTCTGTCTTACTACCCCTGCTTCTCTCTGTATTACTCTCTGTATCACTCTCTGTAATATATACAACGACTGTTGCATGCATGTCTCAAAGAAGTCTAGATTGTAGGTATACACTATTTGATCTTATTTAGTTTTATACAAGAATATTATTACAACGAGATCGAAATGATTAATTCCTTTCTCTTACTGCATAAACGAGTTTGACATTAAGTGCCCAAAATATAACCATGATTAGTTGAATACAAGAATATAAAACGAGTTTAATAGGGTATATACTCTTTATAAATACAGCAATGACAACTGCATACATGTCACAAAATTTGATTTAATTACATAAAGAATATTATCATAAAGTTGAATACAAGAATATTCAATCGAGATAAGGTTACTAATTGTTCTCATACTAAATCGACGACATTTATATACATGTTACCAATATACTTTATTGTATGTATCCACAATCTGATCAGGATTTGATATAAGAATATCACATCGTGATCAAGATGACTAATTCCTCTTTTTTACTACATCAATAACTGTTGCATGCATGACACAAACCAGACTAGATTATATCAAAGTTATGATCATGATTAGTTGGATGTATCCGTTCTGGGAATGATGTAATGACAAAATACATAAGGGTGATACAATAATACCTATAATAGCACGACATGTATGGTTCATATGGTTATATGGTTTGAATAGATTTGAAAGAGTACATTGAGTAGACAAACTGTTATCTTGTCACAGTTTAACCATATATATATATACACACTCTGCAAAATATAATCATATTTTATAACTTTTATTTTCGTCAAATTTATTAAGTTCATGAAGCATGCCAGATAATACCAGCCATGAAAAACACTTCAATATAGTATTGGCCACACATGGCATGTAGTTCAAGGTACTGAAATTGATAATGATTAATTTAAATTATGTCAACTCAATCCAATGTGTATGGATGTTTTATTTCCATTTGACTAAACTGCAAAACAAACGAAAAACATCATTCTAAAAAGAATAGATGATATAATGATTATGGCATATTTACACATATGTACATATCATATATTGTATCATGCTTGTGTACATCTTATCAAGAAATGAAAATGTTCACTTCTTGACTGTTACAATCAAATTTAGAACAAAATGTGCTCAACACTTGAATGCCAAAAGCAAGAATGTATTGGATAGGACAGAAATAAGACTAAAGTTTGTCTATATCGAGTATATACATTCTACACACGGTATTTCCAAAAATATTTCTTGATAATGGATGAATTGTCGGTTAAACAGAAACAATTGACACAAATTACTTTACCCGTAGTTCATGAAATAAATCCTGGTATACCGGAAATTCTTATAGAATACAAGTACTACCGTGATGAAGGATATATCAACAGATCCTTACGGATCAGATTCGAGATGACCTTGGTATGATAGTACAATGCTATATAGGTCATCATCTTTATAGTATAGCCAATATGAGTACACATAAACCGATTGGAATTGTATTAAACGATCACTAGAGAGTTTAGATTTGTTCAAATTCAGTTCGGTTCATTACATATTTCACATTTCACGTTCCACATTGTCAGTTTTATTTACCAGAAATGTAATGATTGTAACAATACAATATCTTTTTGGATAAAAATAGGTTCACAATCAAATCAAATCACTTTCATTTGTTTGTATTTACTTGTAAATTAAGGAATTAAATTAAATTAGAAACGAGGAAATGAAGAAGCCTAAGGTAAAAGACAAGCTTCTTGGTGGTAGCCTGTATATCGTAGGCTCTTGGTTTTATTGCATAGATTGTTTGAACATTATAACCCAACTTATGGTTATCCTATTTGCCTCACCAGGGACCCCCTTTATATGAATGGTAAAATGGTAAGGGCTCATTAGCCGTCAAACTCTTGCTCATTTTGAAGCTTCAAGTGTGATTGCAATAAGTTTCTGGTTTAAATATATGTAAAATGATGGTATACTTAGTACAAAAAGTCATGTACTTCTATTCAGAACTGAATACATGTCATGAAAAGAAATCTAAACCACAAACAAAATCAATTGCAGCCCTTAGCCACTTGATATTTTAGTCGAGTCTTTACAATGATACGGGAAAAAGGGATACCGAAACAATAAATGCAGGAGCTTAGTCAATCAGGACAGGTTAGGGCGAAGGCATCTTTTTTCCATACCATGCTTCAGATTCAAGGAGGAAATACTGAGCCATTGACTTTTTTAAATACTTTTGTGAAAGACATTTTATACCAATAAACAAAACGATGTTTACTGTGTGTGGCATTGTTTCCTCTTGTTCCACTACTCTGTCCGGATTTATTTCCTGTGAAATCTATCGTTCTATCTTTTGATTCCTTCTTAATACTGGCTTCCATCTATATGCGCTCTCTCTTTCTCCCTTCACTAGGATATAATATGATGTGCTTGTAGTAAGCACAAATGCTTTGCTTAGGTCAAAGTACTTTCGAAGAGGCTGCAGATAATTGAAATTCGCTCCCAAAATAAATCGACCTTCGCCATTTGCATCAACAAAATTATAAAGTTATTCTTTAAAAGTATCGAGAAAGGGCATAAGCAGTGATATGTTTATGATATAATATTTCATGCATTTTAACTTTAGATATCCTTGAATTAGTATAATGAGTTACTCGGGTAGCTTGGTTACCGCCACACTCGACAACATTCATTCTGAAGTCCGTAGTATTCTGCTGCCATCAAGTGGTCTGATGAGGGTCATCTTCCAACGTTGATACGTTGTTGCTTGACGGCCAAACCACATATTACTCGAGCGTTAAACTCCACAACTTCCGCTATGATTATGGGAACATAAGAATACAAGAAATAATATATGTATAATGTTTGTTTTTCTAAAAATAAGTACCTGTCAAATAAGCAATGCATTTTTGCAGTTGAATTTGAGAGAGGTCTGTACTATTTATTTAAATAACCATATTTTGATTTTATTTTCATATGATGCTATTTATTCCATATACATCAACATATATACATGTACAATCTTATAACTTTAGATGTATGTCTATCTATTGAGATGAGCGCACACCATGTGTCTGCATACTAGTGCTAGCTCTCTCATAGCAACAGTTTTCTTACCAATTATAAACTGATAGTTTGTCTCGTATTGTTAGCATCCTGCTAGGAAATTTGTGGCTTTGGAAATGTTCTTAATGTTGTTTTTCAAAGAGGAAAGTTTGTGAGGGTTACTGCAAGTGTAGCCGTATTGCACTCTCTACTGTACTGTGGGTAGCATTAACCTTGTATTTTGATTGCCTGACTAAGCACGACCGTGAGTACTATTATGTTATACAACGGCTTTTATAAGATGATGACGTGGATCGTAATCAATGATTGGTTGAAAGCGTACACGTGACCAGGCATTTATTTTGCCTAACGCGTAATTTCGATAATGACCGGTCATTATCCAATTTTATATACCTCACTTTAGAAATCCAGCTATCTGATTGGTCAAAATTGGAGTCGTGATTTAAGCCATTCCCGTAAAGAATTGAAAATGCCCAAAACCATACAATAGTCTATTAAAAAACGCCCTAGGGCACTTTTCAAAAGACAATTGACTGGTTTGGGCATTTTACGTATATGCGTGCAATCTCAATAGGAGGGATTTAAGCACACAAACTCGAGTGGTGCACGATCAGAAACCCTATGAAGACTAGGTCTCGATAGCGTAAACAAACTTGAATACCATGATTGGTAAGTCGCACATGTATTCTATGACCCTTTTCGGTATATAAAAGTTATAATGACTGCTTTAATATTCGAGGCATAGTTGTTTTATAGGCTCTCGGGGAGGTTACATCGTGCTATCACCCCTCGGCACGCCTCGGGGCGATAGCACGATGTAACCTCCCTTTGAGCGTATAAAAACAACTATGTCTCTTATAGCAGTCATTATTACTAAACTAATGACCGGTCATTAGTAAAATCATGTTATAAAACATCATTTTATAAAACAAATAAAACATAATTTTATAAAACAAATAATACACATCATTTTGTTCGGGCGTTAGTAAAATTACCCACACTCGGTACCTTCGAAACAGTCCAAACACCCTCTGCTATCGCCTCGGGCGTGTTAGACTGTTCCAAAGGTACCCTGTGTGGGTAATGCTTACTAATGCCCTCACTGCTGCGGTTATTTGTATACTATTCGTTTCTGGTTTCTCGTAACATTGTGCTTCCATGTGACATTCCATGTGCCCATACTCAGTCTATTGTTAGTGGTTCTGTAAATGACTTTGTTCATCAACCTTATAGTAGGAATTGCTTCTTGAAAAGAAGAATTTCATATAATGCTAATTCGTGTGCAAGTTTTCAACTTGAACTTTTAAATGCAGGTGATATACACCCTAATCCAGGGCCAGATATTAATAAATTTGATACCATTCATTATACACCTACTGTGACTAATGCCTGTTCTCAGCTCAAGTCCACACGACATAACTATAAACAGCTGAGCTTCGGCAGTGGAAAGACAAGTTTACTGAATTACCACATGGTATTTTAAATGTTATCACATCATATGGGCTTCAACATCACCGACTGATGAGCTAAGTGATGTTTTGGCGTGTTTGGTTGGTAATGCGCATGCGCGGCACTCCAATCCAAAAACCTTCGACCAGCTGTTTTTATGCTGTGGCAGTCCAGCGAACTCGATTGAGTTACAGTTGCAGCAATTCTTTGTTTCTTGCGTTCTACCATCATTTTCCTACCATTCGGTATGTTATTCCTTGTTTTTCCATCTTTCATCTTCTCTTCTATCTTTCCATTATCTATTCTTTATCATTTTTTCTTTCTGTTTTTCCATATGTAATTCTTTGTTTCTTCCTTCTTTTACCTTTTTAAAAATGTTATTTAAAAAAAAAAAATTCTATCACCTTCTCTTATGTTATACATGGTTTTTATCATTCTATCACTTTCTCTTTCTGTCTTTCCTAATGTTATTCATCGTTCATTACTTCTATCACCTTTCCTTATGTAATTTTTTGTTTTTATCGTTCTATCATTTTCTATTATCTATTCTTTATCAATTTCTCTTTCTGTCTTTTCGTATGTAATTCTTTGTTTTTTATCATTCTATCACTTTCTCTGTTTTTTTTCTTTCCTTATGTTAATCTTTGTTTCTTCTTTCTATCAACTTCTCTTATGTTATTCTTTGTTTTCATCATTCTTTCACTGTCCCTTTCTGTCTTTCCTTATGTTATTCTTTGTTTCTTCCTTCTATCACCTTCTCTAATGTTATTCTTTTTTCTTTTTTGTATCATTCTATCATAATTCTAATATAATATAAGAGGAAAAAACAAGATCATCATTTCGTCAAAATCTCAGAATTAAACTCCTAAGCAGAGATGAATCATAAGGATCAAATGATATGGTATGAAGTCAAAATATATAATTAATATGAATTTGCATTTAGTTTTGGAAACTCGGAGAACCAATCCCGACTAGCACTCGTGCTAACTTTTGATTCTCCCTTTAACAACATTTTAAGTTGTTAAGTCTAAAAAAATCTTGATTTGAATCACTTATACGCTATTGGAACTCTGTGAATTTCAATTCCAGCCACAAATCTCTACGTATTATTAAGTTATAGCTAATTCACAGGTTTGATATGAATTTGTACATATGGTTCAACTATGGATATTTTTTTTTCTTCGTAACTCATGTACATGGATATGTATACGACATTTTATTTTGTTACCCACTTGAATACATTTGTAACATTGTGATATGTTGTTGTTATTAAATTCAAATTAAAATTAAAAAAATAATAATCACTTTCTCTTTCTGTCTTTCCTTATGTTATTCTTTGTTTCTTCCTTCTATCACCTTCTCTTATGTTATTCTTTGTGTTTATCATTCTATCATTTTCTTCCTACCATTCCTTATTTTTTTCTTTGTTTTTCCATCTTTCATCTTCTCTTCTATTTTTCCATTAGGCCTATCTATTCTTAAAAATTTCCTCTTTCTGCCTTTTCATATGTTGTTCTTTCTTTCTTCCTTCTATCACCTTCTCTTATGTTATTCTTTGTTTTTTATCGTTCTATCATTTTCTCTTATGTTATTCTTTATTTGTATCATTCTATCACGTTCTCTTTCTGTCTTTCCTTATTTTATTCTTTATTTCTTCCTTCTATCACCTTTTCTTACGTTTTTTTTTAATCGTTCTATCACTTTCTTTAAGGACGACAGCTATCCCCGCCCCTAAAGTCACATGACCTAACACCGCGATGTTTCAGCTGCGAGCGTTTATACTACCCAGACAAGCCAGAACACGCGAACAAAAATCGCACTTCGGTTTGGAATGTTTTGGGCTTGGCATTTTTGCTGGTAAAGCTTAGTTGCCTTGGTAACATCACTGAAACATCGCGGACAGGTGTAAATGGTCCTTGTACACCTAATATCAAGACCATAAATATTATATTATTTATGGAAATAATCACTGAACTATCTCTCCTTGGATACTTTTCAAGTAGTGATGTTTCAGAATATTTTGAACGTTATAATTCTCTATTGAGAACTGCCCTTGATGAGTATGCTCCTCCGAAACAGAGATGTGTCACAGTTCGCCCTAACACACAGTGGTACTGTCAAGATATTGCTAACAAAAAACTCCAACGTAGGAAATTGGAGCGCAAATGACCTAAATCAGGCCTAAAGTCTGATCGTGAGAAATAACAGAACCACGTCAGTAAGTGCAGTTAAGTGTTTACGCTGCCAAAACATCATTTAACTCTATGCTGGTTGAAAGCTGCACAATTATAAAACAGCTGTTTAGACTTGCAAATGTTTTGCTTAACAGAAGTAAGAAATCTACCCTTCCTACTTATGTAAATCTTGCAGATCGTTTTAACAATTTATTTGTGGAAAAAATTATCAATGTTAGATCAGCTCTTACTAATGTGCTAGGATTCGAAATTCTTTTAATGACAGGAAAGGCACTAGATACCCTCTCCAACAACACTTGGTGAGATTGAGTAAAAAATAATGAGTTCACCTTCTAAATCCAGTGAACTTGACCCCATACCAACATCGCTTTTGATCCCTGCTATTTTACCATCAATTGTAACTATAATAAACACAAGTCTTGGTTCGGGGATAGTTCATGACAGTATGAAGATTGGAGCAGTGCGCCCCACCTTGAAAAAAAAAATCTATTTTGGACAGTACATTTAATGTCTCCAGACCTATAGACCTATCTCTAATTTGTCATATCTATCCAAACTCGCAGAACGAGTGACTTTCTCACGTCTTCCCACATATCTCATTGAAAATAATTTAATTGATAATTTTCAATCTGCCTACCGCCCACACCATAGTGTGGAAACGCTGCTAACTAATCTTGTGGACAGTATTTGAATTCGACTACTATTTGCAAGCAAATTCATATTGATAAACAATTTTGTTCAAAAAGGTACTGCAAGCATTACATATTAGACAGGAAAGGTTTGAGATATATACATGATGTCACTATCATGACCAAGGTAGCAGGCAGAGGAATAGGAGACACATGTAGACCTACACTTCGTACCTGTCGCCCATCTTAATGACACCATTTCTTAAAGTAGATATTCATTGATTTTAAAAACTAACTTTATTATCATTATTGCAAAGTTGAAACTTTGATTCGACAAGGTTATCAAAATTCAATGCTTGGAAGCATTCGAAGTAACGATTATTATAAACTACAAAACGCTTAAATACAGCCCCGGCATAGCACCTGAAGAGCTCTCCGAACGCTGCTGAGATGTGTGAGATCACAGGATGGACAAGATTTACACAAGCAGACGATGTCCCATGACATCTCACACATTTTCAGTGCCTGTTTTTTCATCTTCTCTTGATTTCTTTATCTTACTTCACTACCGTCAGGCTAAATGTATAATATATTGCCTCACTTTAAGCCCTGCGCATGGTTTTATTTTGATGACCAATGCAGCGATACAAAAATAAAGGAATCTGTCGCTTGTAAACAAAATAAGACGTCATTGTATATTCAGCTGCACACACCGCGGTATGTTTGGCGTTTAAAGAGGGAACAAATGCCGTCCTCAATATCATTCCGGGGGGTTTTCAATTTGAAAGTCTGGTTTCTTTGATTGTTAATTAACCCCTATCCTGTGTATTTACAAACAACAGAGTTTAGTTATCAAAATCGGTTTCATATCCCCTTTTGAATGGTTTGAAATGCCATCACATTTATATACACTAAACTCATATTAATCTGAGAAATAATAACTTTGCAATTATGTTCATTCTTTATGGGATGTCGTCTGCTTGGGCAGTGTTGGTCCCTCATGTGACGTCATTAAAACATCGTTATTTTTTGGGCGAATCTCTCGTTTCTCAGATGCTATGGAGGTGGTTGTATTTGTATTTTTATAAATCACCCGATATGTAGTTGACCTTAAACTTGAACGATGGCCATATGTTAGCTTACCAGTCTCTAGTGATACATTAGTTGACATATTTTTGATTTTCTTTGAATTTCCACTTTAATGAAATTTGTATTTGTTGTTCAGTTGTTTTCATTACAGAAATAAGATTATACTGGCAGTTTGATTGGAAAAATGCAGGCCACAAATAACATTATTCACTTTTAACATGTTCTGAATAAGGCAGTGTGATTCGTAGGAATTTATTTCCAATATACACTCGTATATTCAAACTCATGGATATTGCTATATTGTAAGAAGCATGTTTTATCTTTGTACTATTCGCCACGGTTCTAAACAGAGTTTATTTTGCTGAGATGCATGCTACATGATAATTTGACACATTTCTTTAAGAAGAGCATGAGATAAGATAAAGGAAAATGTTCATCCTTTCATCAGATATTAAGGTCTTATCGCTTTGAAAAAAAAAGAATGAAGTACAATGAAGGAAAAGTATTTTTTCACTTAAAATGTTCATTATTGTGAAGAGTATTTTTCTGTATGTTTGTTATATTTCAGTTTCCGGATATCATTGCACAGATCAAGAACAAACCTATTGCTAGACTTGATCATTTTAATTAGGCCAGAATAAACACATTTAAGACAGCTTAAATTATGTGTATTGTTTATTCTGTGTACCGATTGGGTGGAGTTAAATATGGATAATAACAAATAGCCTACTTTGAATCGATGGAATGTCAAGAAGAGGGAGAAGAATCAACCGAAGGATGGGCATGCAATCTGTTGTTATATCTTACCTTCCCATGCTTCATGGTGACAGTCAGCTTGCCTTCACTGTTTACCTCAGACATCAGTGAATCCAGATCCACGTTGGTAAGACACAAATTCAACCTATTGTAATAAAACAGTGCATTTCGGGGGCACAATTCATTATCTTCTGAACTAACCCGACGTGCGACACTCTCTTAAAATGCCAACAGAGATATAATGTTTATGATGTGAGAATACATAAAAATTTAATACACATCAGAACTTGCATAATTTTAGTCTGTATTTATATTGCATGACTGAAATCCATTTTATCATAACTATGTATGTATGATACAGCAAGTCTATGAACATCATGATGAATACAATAAATAAAGTATTGAATTTAAATTTATCTTAAGAAAATAAAATTGGTATGAATAAATCCTGAAATAAAGAGATCATCGGATTATGTAAACTATTGTTAATTGTAAAAATTATAAAGTCCCCTATACAGCACCCTATCATCTAATCTTTAAAACGACCCACTCTTAGATGTATTCAAAACCGTATTGCAACTACGAACCCATAACTAATTTAGCAGTAATACAGATAGGTGGCTTGTGGGGGAAATTGTTTTGCCCTAATCAATTTTCTTTCTATAAAAACAATTAAAATGAATTAAATTAACGCTGGTTTTCCTCTTGTATGAATACCATGAAGGATAAGCATAAGTTATATGTCTAAAGGTATAGAACAAATTAACATTCATTTTGTTATCTAAATATCGTTGTGAATAACTGATTTAAACAAATCAAGTGATCAATCCAATAGTTCAGACTGAACACATTTTTCGCATAAATATGCAAACGAGCATTCATCAAAAAGATTAAATAGTGAAATTAATATTTTTCATAATTTGCCATAATCTAAGATAACAGTTGAATCAGTTCAAGTGATATGATTGAAATTGCCCATGCCATTGAACATGATTGAAACATTTCAATATTACTATAACAAGTGAATTTCACATGATAGGCAAATTAGCTTCCACCTTTAAAATATTGAAAAATTACATTTTCATCTTAAATTGCATCCAAGTCCATTTTTACACAATTCATGTATTATTATTATTATTATTATTATGCATTTAGCTACACTATTCATAGTACACAATATCACAGCGCTTAAATAATATAATGAATGTTTATGAGTTCAATAGTGCGAATATTTTCATGAGTTGAAAGATTAACGTTCTATTCAACGAGGCGTCAGCCGAGTTGAATAGAATTAACGTTAATCTTTCAACGAATGAAAATATTTGCACTATTGAACGAATGAAAAACATTGATTATTTGTTTTATACAACATCAAAGAAGATCTAATAGAACGGTAATCAACAAATTATGCTTTACTCCTCATATTTATTAAAGTTGGAGTCAAGCCTTCTCGATCACATTCAGATTTCCTTCACAGGGATACGCGCACGACAAAGAGGTACGCAGTCTGCATATAACCAAAAATGCACAGTCGTGCATTATAACATCTATTGAATATCACGTGACCAACAATCCTCCAATCAAATGACAAGGATCCACGTAGATGTTGTATAAAACAATATAACCACAAATCTTAACATAACATTGAACAAACAAAAATAATAGCGAATCAAGTAGGAAATAAGTAGGTTTTAAGGAGTTTCTTAAAATCATCCACTGATGGAGCAGCTTTTATACTGGAGGGAAGTTTATTCTACTCCTTAGCTGCTGCAACAGTGAATTTGCGATCTCCTTCCTTACTACGAGCCACATGAAAAGTCAATCGAAATGGGTCTGCATTGGAACAAAGGTTTGAACGTACAGGTCGATACAACTCAAGACAGTCACTAAAATACTCTGGAGCCTGATCATGACAAAATTTGTATACAAATAAAAGAATCTAAAAAACAATCCTCTGTTTGATTGCAGGGCAACCAATGAAGGGGTGTTAGTAGAGGCATGGCATCGTGACGACGGTCTAAACGAAAAATAATACGAGCAGCCAAGTTCTGCCAACTTTGAAGTCTTCTTATACGTGTTTGAGGGACTTCTGTATTGAAATTACCGTATTATGGGTTTACAGACATGGTGAAATGATTATTTTCTGATTTACATTGCAAATATTTAGCCATCATAATTATATGATAATATAAATTCAAATTATAAATTTCGATTATAATACGCTAAAAAGGAAACTTAATTTTACCCTTTTTAAATGTATTCATCCTATTCAGTGGGACAATGCCAATATCCATTCCATTATTTCACATGATTTAAGGGGGTTCTTAGATGGCAGGTTATGAAAAAAATTATGAATTTTGATATCTCTCTGCATAATTTGCAAACATTAATCCTAATATTGATTCAAAAACTTGTCCACCTTTTTCATTGACTTTGAAAACATTGCAATGAACACTTGATTTGTTCAAATCGGTTATTTACAACGATATTGAGATGAAAATATGAATTTTGATCTCTTTAATGTTGTTTCCGAAAATTGTTGTCATTGTGTTTAATAACTGGCCATAAAACATCATTTTAAGAGCTAAAACCCTTTTCCAATAAGACTATAACTAATTTGTCATAATTATTGCGGAATTTTAGCTGCTTTCCACTTAGATTTTCTAAAACTTATAGTATGTTGTTTAGAGTATTACATCTATTCCTAGTTCACTAGAGTGGGATAAATTCTTTTGGAACTTGTGAGCGTAAGTTACTATTTTGAGTTTACAGAGACAAATTAATTAACAGAGGGACTGAGAGAGAGGTAAAGAAAATGAAGATAAAACAATCACAGTAAAAGGTAACATGACTGTGTTGTTCCACAATGTGTAGTACATGTAAATTTTTAAGATTTTGACTATATAATCTGGCAATCATTACCCTGGTAAATCAAAATGAGACTCACTCTATCCTTGTCAGGTATGGATGAGACTTCATGAGTTGGATGATCTCAGCTGCCTTCTTGTTGGTCAGGACAATGTCGGTAAGGGACAGCTTGGTGAGCCGAGGACATGATGTTTTAACCGCCTTGCAGAATAACACGGGATCATTTAGTTCAATTGACGTTACAACAGGCGGATATTCCTGGATGTGAAGGTGAGTTAGATGATGGAATGGAGAACATGCCATTGTCACGATGTCTGATGAGACACTCTCCGAGAACAGCAAGTTCAGTTCGAGTTTTTGAACTCGGGGACATGATGTATGAAGTCCGAGATTCCACAGACTGGTCACATGCTTATATTCCACAGATAGTTCATATACTGAGGTTATTTGACGAGTCTACATAAAACAGCAATTTGAATGAAAAAGAACGCTAACGTAAGATTTTTTTTTTGTTGGTAACCTGACTCATTCATATCATGTTTGGTAAAGGGTTTTCATCTGTTTAAAGTAAGAAGAAATGAACAAACGCGTAGTTTTTTAGAAAATGGTGCAAAGAATACAACATTTTTGAACTTTTGGATGCCGAGATTATAAATGATACGGAGAATCTTCCTTTGACGTTACAGTTATAGTCGATGACGTTCCGGATGAACTATTACAGATTTCTTTTTCCAAAATATAAAAATACCTCTCTGTTTTCCATTTTAATAATCCAGTAGACTATGTTTCATTAGGCCTAAACGTATATTGCCCTCCTTAAAAAAAATAAGACTCTGGAAGAGGTGTTTGCAGTATTTTGGAGAACAACAACAATTAGAGGATTACCCCCTGTATGACATAATACATCATGACCGCATTGCCAATATTTTCTCACATTATTAGCATTATCGACGTTCAAATTGTTTTAACGTATTTATTCTTTCTCCGCTTTTTTTGAAATCCTCGTTAAAAGGATTCTTTATTTTGTCTGTTTCCACCAACAAGGCCGAAGCCAACTTACTAACGAGAGTTAATCCTTTTTTTAGAGGAACATGACGGGCTTGTAGTACTCATAACCATATTTTTAATGTGATATTCGTTCAGCCAGGCTAAACGAAATCATTCAAACGATTTTACATGACTGAAAGTTACACATTTGATGATGACAAAATAAGCAACAAAAATCTCTCTAGGAAATAGCAAATGACAATCATTCATCAATCGATATTTAACGAGCTTTAAAAATATCTGCATGGTTAAACTTTATCCCAAATTGAGAAAATTATAACCTTGCATGTAAAGATGTTTGATATAAACCATCCATATATTTACTATATAGCCCGTAGTATGCCGTTTTTTTTTTATTTTTTTACTTCATTTCAAGACAAAATACATTATCCTCTCGGCAATTTCTTTATCATTTATATTTAGTGTGTCTAGTTTGTCTGAACCCCTTCCTTTTAAGCTTGGAATAAAAAGAGGATTTGACTTCAATCTTTGAATGGTAAAGATACATACCAGTGTCTCTCCATCGTCCATGTCAACTCGTCTGATATCCCTCAAGCTGAGTGACTGGAGGCGTGGCAGCGAGAGAATGGAATGTAGTCGACATGGAGTTATGGAAACACCCCCTATAATCAGCGTCTGGATCTGTGCAGAAACAATTTATCAGTTCACACCAAAGTGAAATCTATGATCATATCCAATTCTTGTTTTTACTAACATAAAACCTTTTTAAATCACAGCTAATATCAGATGAATCTGCATCTTTAATAGTAACTTTATTATTCACTAAGTCTGATTATTTCGTCTATGTTTATGTTATAGTATAAATGAATCATTTTAATAAACATAAAAGCATTTCGATATGAATGACATGGTGGATTTCAAGAGATGAGAGAACACGAGCAAATAGATAAAGCTACATAGGAACAAAGTTGAGTTATTGAGAGACGCACTCTATCCTAATACAAAAAAAAAGAAGCACTCCCATATTCCTCACAATCTTTAGTGTAAGGATTGATTACTTACGGGTACTTTCTTTCACAATTAAATGATGGAAGTCTGTCTAATCGCATCAAAGTACAGAAAGTCAGAACTTTTTTTCGAAGGGTTTAGAGTGTGTTGTGTGGCGTAACCAAATAATAATTGAGAAATAAATGATCTATACGATAACAAATTATTGCATTCATAATGTTATTACTAAAGTTTCACATCAGCTGAAAAAACACAGTTTTTCAGGAAGGCCATTTTTATGATGGGGGAGGGGCATTTTTTGTCGCCGTAAGTAGAGGCTTGCAACAAGCATCACACGCAAACGAAATAACTGGCTTGCTTATACCTGTTAGGAAACTATGCAGAACACAAAACAGATATTTTGGGTGCGTTTATCGTGCCTTGCCACTCAGAATCAGCGTTTCTATATGTACATATCGAACCCACTATACGAACGTGATTTGCGGGATGTCGCGTTTATCGTCTCTTCACGATCCAAAATAAAGGCCTTGTCTCTGCGCAGCTGCTTTGGGCCGTTTGACCCGGGAAGCAGACAGTTTCAGGGAGGTCAACTAGAGCGCGCGCTTTTATTTATGTTCGATCCAACTAGTACTAGGCTACTAATAGTAATATTGTTAAAAAAATGTAACACTGTTAAAAATGTTAAAATTTACTATCAGTAATTTTTTTTAATGCACCAAAGTTCATTCTATTCACATGATTTGCTACCTTGTCAGCAGGGCCAAATTTGTTATTATATTTATATGAGAGTGCCTGTTACTAATGTTTATGAATGATTCATTTTTTAAAGCTTGACAAAACAGCTACCCCATAATTATGAGGTATTTATAAGAATGTAAAATATTTCGAAACATATCGTTTCCAATTGAAATCGTGTTTGCATATACCATTGATTGTGATGCCTCAGTGGCCATTGTTGAGTAGAACTCATCACTTAGCATCACTCTGTCCAGATTGAGTGATTGAAGTTTTGGCATGGAACAGAGACCTCTCGCGTAATGAGAGGATGCAGAAAGACCCAGATCTGTGAACTCGTGCTTTAGCTCCTCAATCTGGTGATGTGACAGGACATGTTAAATAGAGGGAATAGTATTTTCAAGTATAGACGACATGTTTGATTTAAAGATTATTTTAATGTCATTAATGTAACATTATTAACCTCTCCTTAGACTTTTAAAGCAAGGGAAAGAGAAAGGAAAGATGGACAGAGAGAGAAAAAAAATAGGTGTGGAAAAAGAAAGACGAAATGAAGATAGACAAACAAATTTCATCAATTATAGATGGTTAGGAACGAGAGACCTCGTCTGTTTAAGAGCAATAAAAGTAAATATTATATCCGTCTGTTTAAAATGCACATGTAAAATAAATTTCCTGCGACTCATTGGCTTAATGTAAATAATATCTATATATTGATATAAGCGTGCCCGTTACTAATGTTTATGAATGATTTCTCTTTTAAAAAAGTGTGAAAAAACGGTAACTATGTTGTGTTTGAAGATTGAAATAATATTTGGAAACAAATCGTTTCCAATTCAAATCGTGTTTGGGTGTACCGTTGATTTTGATGCCTCAGTGGCCATCGTTGAGTAGAACTCATCACTAAGCATCACATATAACAGTTCCAGTGATCGAAGATTTGGCATAGAGCAGAGACCTCTCGCGTAATAAGAGGATGCAGCGGAACCCAGATCTGTGAACTTGTGCTTTAGCTCCTCAATCTGGTGATGTGACAGGACATGTTGAATAGAGTGAATAGTATTACGAAGTAAAGACGACATGTCTGCTTTAAATATTCTTATCTTCATTAATATAACATTAATAACTAATACCCTGCCTTTTAAAGCAAGAGAAAGAGAGCGAAAGTGGGATGGAGAGAGGGAGAGAGAAGAAAAAAGACCGGGACAGACACAGAGACAGGGGGAGATAGAGATTTTTTTAAAAGACCAGAAGGGAAATGGGTTTGGTAAGAGAAAAGAGAGACGAGATGAAGTATTAGACAAACAAATGTCATCAAAAATAGATGGTTGGAACAGAGAGAGCGTGTCTTTTCAAGCAAAAAAGAAGCGTTTTTCTCCGTATTTGTACAAAGCATGTAAAATCAATTTCATGCGTCTATTGACAGAACTTAAACAACTTAATATATGCGAAACAATGTTTGTAGGATAAGTGCTTTTAAAAGACGTTTGAATATGAATCAATATCATTATGACGCAAAAGTTCATTCCAATCACAGGTATTTATTTCCTTGTCAGCATAGCCAAAATTATTTATGATATTGATATAAGAGTTCCGTCACTAATGACAAAAATGATTTCTTTAACAAAAAGTGTGAAACAACAGTTAACCCATAATGTTGAGTTTGAAGATTGCAATACTATTTCGAAACATATCGTTTCCAATTGAAATCGTGTTTGCATATACCATTGATTGTGATGCCTCAGTGGCCATTGTTGAGTAGAACTCATCACTTAGCCTCACTCTGTCCAGATTGAGTGATCGAAGATTTGGCATGGAGCAGAGAACTCTCGCGTAATGAGAGGATGCAGCAGAACCCAGATCTGTAAACTCGTGCTTTAGCTCCTCAATCTGGTGATGTGACAGGACATGTTGAATAGAGTGAATAGTATTACGAAGTAAAGACGACATGTCTGCTTTAAATATTCTTATCTTCATTAATATAACATTAATAACTAATACCCTGCCTTTTAAAGCAAGAGAAAGAGAGCGAAAGTAGGATGGAGAGAGGGAGAGAGAAAAAAAGACTGGGACAGACACAGAGACAGGGGGAGATAGAGATTTTTTAAAAAGACCAGAAGGGAAATGGGTTTGGTAAGAGAAAAGAGAGACGAGATGAAGTATTAGACAAACAAATGTCATCAAAAATAGATGGTTGGAACAGAGAGAGCATGTCTTTTCAAGCAAAATAGAAGCGTTTTTCTTCGTATTTGTACAAAGCATGTAAAATCAATTTCATGCGTCTATTGACAGAACTTAAACAACTTAATATATGCGAAACAATGTTTGTAGGATAAGTGCTTTTAAAAGACGTTTGAATAGGAATCTATATCATGATGACGCCAAAGTTCATTCCAATCACAGGTATTTATTTCCTTGTCAGCATAGCCAAAATTATTTATGATATTGATATAAGAGTTCCGTCACTAATGACAAATATGATTTCTTTAACAAAAAGTGTGAAAAAACAGTTAACCCATAATGTTGAGTTTGAAGATTGTAATACTATTTCGAAACATATCGTTTCCAATTGAAATCGTGTTTGCATATACCATTGATTGTGATGCCTCAGTGGCCATTGTTGAGTAGAACTCATCACTTAGCCTCACTCTGTCCAGATTGAGTGATCGAAGATTTGGCATGGAGCAGAGAACTCTCGCGTAATGAGAGGATGCAGCAGAACCCAGATCTGTAAACTCGTGCTTTAGCTCCTCAATCTGGTGATGTGACAGGACAGGTAAAATAGAGTGAATGATAATATCAATTATAGACGACATGTCTGATTTAAATATTCTTACTGTGATGAATGTAACATTATTAACCTCTACTTAGACTTTTAAAGGGGAAGAGAAAGGAGTGAGAAAAGAGAGAGAGAGAAAGAGAGAGAGAGAGAGAGAGAGTAACACAGAGACAGAGAGATATATACATGTATATGGAGAGATACCGGCTAAATGCACGAAAAGAGAGAGGGAATTTGAATTTGAATTTGAATTTATTAACAACAACACATCACAATAATGACAGATAATAATAATAATACTGATACATGTATACATAACATAAGAGTAATGTCGATTGAACAGTAATGGTTCTAAAACAATATTTTGTAGACATACATCTGCATACTATTAAATGTACAAAAGATATATACTTAAATATGCATATTACTATGTTTAGGTGAAGTTGTTAATTGGAACTAGAAGTTAGCACAAGTGCTAGTCGAGCCTAGTTCCATTCTTTGGCAAGTTTTTTTCTGTTAATTTGTTTTTACATATGAATGTAAAACTTGTTTGTTTTGTATTTACATATATACAGCAAAATAATACAATATCATGTAACTTTTTTTCTTTACTAAAATGAAAAAATAAAAATAACAAAGCTTAAGCGTAAAGCATTATAATGAAGGAAAACAAATCTTTGAAGAAATAAAATCATCAATGTGTTCATAAAAATGAAAATGATGTATTAATAAAAATAATCAAACACATGTACGTACATGCACAAATCCTGTAAAAGCTTAAGGCCGATATAAGTGTATACATATATAAAAGGAAGACAAGTAATATAAAAGGAAGGGGTGGGATTGAGCCCATGTCATTTACATAGAAGGTAGGTGGAAAGATGTCTCCGAAAAGATAACCTTGATGTTTTTAATCTAATTTCATCTGGCAGATCATTCCACAGCTTTGTTCCTACAAACGAAATACAAAATTGCCCTTGCGTTGTCTTACATTTTGGCTGATAAAGTAAGCCATTTTCTTTTCTCCTAGTTGCATATCTATGCTGTATCATCTGACAATAATCCACTAAAGAGTGTGGTAAAAAACCTTTTACCAAATCGTACATAAATGTTGATACAAGAAGTTCATGGAGTTGAAAAATATTTAAAATGTTTAGACTTTGGAAAAGAGCTTTGGAGTCTGTTCTAAGTGGACTGAATGTAATTGCTCTCATTGCCATTTTTTGACTTAAATATATACAATTTAGATTACTTTTGTAAGTGCTCCCCCATACTTCTACTCCATAAAAGAGGTGAGGCTGTATAAAAGCCTTATATAATAACACAAGTATATTCTTGGGAACAAAATGTCTCAGTTTAAACAAAATACCTACTTTCTTTCTTATGCATTTGTTTATCGTCTGAATGTGTTCTTTCCATGAAAGGTGACAATCAATTTCAATTCCTACAAATGATGCAACAGATACCTCTTTAATATTTGATCTTGATATTCTCACAGATCCCTTTTTGTCTACTGATCTAGCTTTGGATTTCATAATCATATAGTTTGTTTTCTGTAAGTTAATTGTGACTTCATTTGCATTACACCATTCCTGCACCTTCATTAAATTTTCACTTACAATTTCTAAATCAATTTCTTTTTGTCTAGGATTAAAAGTATGAAAAAGATTTGAGTCATCAGCAAATAATCTGAAATTGAAAAAGTTTGTGGAGTTAGGTAAGTCATTTATATATAGTAAAAATAATGTTGGTCCAAGAACGGAGCCTTGAGGGACACCACATGTTATATTCAATTTCAAAGACATTTTGTCTTTATATTGTATAAACTGTGATCGTTTACACAAATAATCTTCAAACCATTGCAAGGCTAACCCACGTATTCCATAGTGTGACATTTTTTTGAGGAGAATGCTGTGGTTTATAGTATCAAATGCCTTTTGAAAGTCAATAAAGATGCCAACTGTTGTTCTACCTTCATCAATGTATTTCAATAGTGTATTTGTAAGATTAATCAAAGATAACTTAGTGCTATGTTTCTTACGGAAACCGTACTGGTGTTGAAACAAAATATTATTTGCTTCCAAATAGTCAATTACACGATTATTTATTATTTTCTCAAAGATTTTACCCAGTATAGGTAAAACTGAAATAGGTCTGTAATTACCAGCTAGATCTTTTCGCCCCTTTTTATAAATAGGTGTCACTTTTGCTACTTTCAGTGCGTCTGGAAATTTACCTCTTTCTATGGAAAGATTGAAAATATATGTTAATGAGCTTGAAATGTATAGGGCAGCATCCCTCAACAATCTTGCCGGCAAATTATCATAGCCACATGCTTTTTTTGTATCTAAAGTCTGTAAGTGGCATTTCAATTCATTCTCTGTTATTGGTTTTAAAAATAGTGATTTTTCTGTTCTATATCCTAAATATTCTGTAAAGTCAGAATTCACTGGTGGTATTTCCTTTGCCAGCTTTGGACCTATGTTTACAAAAAAGTTGTTAAATTCGTTAGCTATTTCATTGTCAGAAGTTATCACTCTATTTTCTCCACCACCTGAGCTTAATAATTTCTCTACATTGGTCACTTTATTTTTGACATTTCCACCACTCAACAACTCGTTAATTGTTCTCCACGTTTTACGACTATCATTCTTATTAATGAAGAAGAGGTTACTATAATATTGTCTCTTTGCATTTCGTAGAACTGTAGTTAGAACATTTCTATACCTCTTGTATTCTTTCTCGTCTTTCTGTTGGAAATTTGATGCCTTTAGTTTCAAATACAACTTGTGCTTCTTCTTGACTGATTTTAAAATAGCATTAGTCATCCATGGTTTTCTCCCAGCATTTTCCCCCTTTTTTAGGTTCTTCGAAGTTGATGATATAATTGGTGCATGCTTGTCACAGACTTGCGTAAACAAGTCGTAAAATACAGAGTACGACTCATTTAATTTTGTACAACCACTTACATTGTTCCAATCAATTTTACCTAGATCATCATGGAATTTATTAATATCATAATTTCTGAAGGTACGAAACACAGACTTTTTGTGGCTTGTTTTACTTGCCTTTCTAAGATGCTCAAATGCAACAAAGATAGGGAAATGATCTGATATATCAGTTTCTATAACTCCAGCATGAATAGAAGAAATTGTTACATTAGTGTACACATGGTCAATAAGAGAGGAAGTTGTTTTAGTTACTCTTGTTGGTGAAGTGATTAGTTGCTGCATACCCAAACATTGTAAAGAAGTTAAAAATTGTTCTGCTTTCATATCTATTCCTTCCTTGTGTAGTACATTAATGTTAAAATCTCCAAGAGAGAGAAAGAGAGAGAGTGGAGCACATACATACTGATTGAGAGAGAAAGAGAGAGAGAGAGAGAGAGAAACAGAGGGAAATGGGTGTGGTAAGGGCAAAGAAAGACAAAGAAATGTGTTTTTATTTTCTTTTATTTATTTATTCTCTACTAATGGAATGGATTGCCCTTGTCAGGTATAAGCTGTTTTACAAAAGGGGTCCAAACATTTAAAAATCCAAAACATGATTAATTTTAGATGGTTAAAAAAAGAGAAACCGTGTATTAAGTAGAATATAAGTGTTATATCCGTTTATTCACAATGCACATGCAAAATTAAATTCCTCGACTATTGGCAAACTATAAGTAATTTATTTTAAAAAAATGCAACATACTATTATGAAATAAGTACTTTTATACATGCTTTTTTATGAATCTATATCATTATGACACCAAAGTTCATTCTATTCATACGATGTGTTTCCTTGTCAGCATGGCGAAGCCATTTTATATGCTGAATCTAAAGAATACAATACAATTAAAGTCGTGCTTGGATATACCTTTGACTTTGATGCCTGAGAGGCTATTGTTGAGTAGAACTCATCACTCATTACTACACGGTCCAGATTGAGTGATCGAAGTTTTGGCATGGAGCAGAGACCTCTAGCGTAATGAGAGGATGCAGCTGAACCCAGACTTGCTTCACGGTGAATTAGCTCCTCAATCTGATTATGTCACATGACAGGTTAAATAGAGTAAATAGTATTATCAAGTATAAAAAACATGTCTGCTTTAAGTATTCTAACTGTCATTAATGAAACATTAATTACCTCTACTCAGACTTTCAAAGCAAGAGAAAGAGAAGGGAAAGAAAGTGAAAGAGAGATAGACAGCGAGACCGGTATAGAGACCGAGACATAATGAGAGAAAGAGAGAGAAAGAGACCGGTACATAAACTGAGACATAATGAGAAACAGAGAGGAAGAGAAAAAGAGAGATAAAAGACAAGTGTGCTAAGAGAAAAGAAAGACGCGATAAAGAAAGACAAACAAATGTCATCAATTATAGATGGTTGGAAAAAAGAGACCTTGCCTGCTCAAGAAGAGTAAACGTCTTTACTACATTTGTCAATTTACAATGCACATGTAAAATTAATTTCCTGCGACTACTGGCTTAATGTGAATAATTGCTAAAATAAGAATGCGAATTACTATTTTCAGGTTACGTGCTTATAACACACGCCCTTTTTATGAATCTATAATATTATGACACCAAAGTTCATTGTATTCACGTAATTTATTTCCTTGTCAGAATGGCTTAGCTATTCATATTGATATTAGTGTGGTCGTAACTGATGAAAATAAATGATGCCTTTTGAAAAAGTGCTAAAAAACAGTTACTCTTTATGTTAAGTTTAAAGATTGCAATACTATTTGGAAACATATCGTTTGTAATTGAAATCGTGTTTGCATATACCATCGATCTTGATGCCTCAGAGGCCATCGTTGAGTAGAACTCATCACTAAGCTTCACATTTTGCAGCTCCAATGATCGAATATTTGGCATAGAGCAGAGACCTTTTGCGTAATGAGAGGATGCAGCAGAACCCAGATCTGCCGTCACCTGCTTTACCTTCTCAATCTGGTGATTTGACATGACATGTTGAATAGAGTGAATGATAATATCAAGTATAGACGACATGTCTGATTTAAATTTTCGTACTATCATTAATGTAACATTATTAACCTCTACTGAGACTCTTAAAGAAAAGGAAAGATAAAAGGAGTTATAAGAGAGAAAGAGAGAGAGAGAGATAGAGAAAAAGTCTCAAAGAAAATTATAATAATTTCTAAAAAAAAGAATGCAAAATACTATTTATAGAATATGTGCTTTTAAAACACGTTTTTATGTGAATCTATATCTTTATGATACCAAAGGCATCGTATTCACATTATTTATTTCTTGCCAGCATGGCCAAACCATTTATAATATTGATATTAGAGTGGTATTTTTAAACTGATGAAAATAAATGATGTCTTTTAAAAAAGTTTCAAAAAACAGTTACCCAATATGCTGAGTCTGAAGATTGCAATACCATTTGGAAACATATCGTTTCTAATTAAAATCGAGTTTGCATATACCATTGATTTTGATGCCTCAGAGGCCATCGTTGAGTAGAACTCATCACTCAGCTTCACATGGTCCAGCTTCAGTGATCGAATATTTGGCATGGAGCAGAGACCTCTCGCGTAATGAGACGATGCAGCAGAACCAAGATCTGCTACCACGTGCCTTAGCTTCTCAATCTGGTGATGTCACAGTATAGGTTAAACAGAGTATCTAGTATATAGACGACATGTCTGATTTAAATATGTATAACTGTCACTAATGTAACGGCCAAAAGTAAACTGTTCTGGTAAATACCCTCATGTCACTCGGTGTTAAAGGTCAAGCCCTCGAATGGTTTAAATCATACCTGTCATGCCATTCTCAAGCTGTCTTGATAAACGGCTGCCTTTCAGATTTTGTACCACTTACATGCGGAGTTCCGCAAGGCACTGTGGGCGTGCGCACCATGTTCTCGTTATATTTAACCGGTTCGAAGAATATGCATCACCATACTCTTATCATGTTTATGCTGATTATATTGAAATATATACGTCTGTCAAACCGAATCAGAGCAATGCAGACAGCGCCATCCATAATATTGAGAATTGTGTACAAGATGTCCATAATTGGTTGAACTCACACTCACTCAAATTAAATCTCGCCATATGCGAATTTGTAATGTATGGTTCTAAGACTCAGTTAGAGAAGATTTCCATCACTTCAATTACTCTTGCTGGACATGAAATTACCTTATCCAATGTATGTCGCAACCTTGGTGTGTTTCTCGACTCAAATATGAAAATGTCTACACAAATTCAATATGTCTCAAAATCAGTACGTTATCAGATACGCAATTTAGGTTGTATTCGTTAATATCTTAACCGTAGTGCCACTGAGAAAACTACTCATGTTTTAATCTCATCTCGCTTGGATTTTGGTAATTATGACCTTTTGTTTGGTTCGTCTCACAACTTAATTGCAAAATTACAACAATTACAGAACGCTGCTGCTCGTGTCGTGACCCTTTCTAGTCACATCAAACCAGTCCTCAAATTACTCCATTGGTTGCCCGTAGAAGAACGTGTTGTTTTCAAGATTATTTTGTTATTATTTCACTGTATGCATTGCTCTGCTCCGCAGTACAACATCGGCTTGATCAAGCATTACATTCCCTCTAGACAGCTACGCTCTCAAAACTCTGGCTTGCTCGTTATTCCTAGGGTTAAAACAAAGTGGTGGAGCGAACCTTCACTTATGCTGGGCCTACATTATGGAATATTCTCCCTCAATGGATCAAAAATAGCAGTTCTGGTTCAGTTTTAAAAAACATTCTTAAGAAATATCTATTTAATTTAGCTTATAATTGATTACCATTACCTTTCATGTCTGTAACTTTCCTATTGCACTTTTGTATATATTTAACATGTTTTTCATCTTTTGCACAAGATGCGCCTTGAGCATTTGATTGTCAAGTGGATTTGGCGCCATACAAATATTATGTATTAATATTACAGTGATATAGCTTAAAAAATAGCTTAATTTCTGTTTTAAATGTTACTTATTATATTCCCTTTACTGTACTAATCCTCTGACATGCTAAAAAACCTGAAAAAAGTCTCAAATCACGAAGATATCTATGGTTTTCTTTGAAGGCGTCACTGTGCAACACCCTCTAACAGTGATGAACAGTACATTTTCCTAACCATTTTTGAATTCTCCCAGCCGCTTTTCCATGAAAAAAGGCATAAAACAGGCTATTAAAAATCTGTCAACACTTAAATGTCTGGAATGGTATGCAGAGCCAATTTATTGCTTTGTTACGATTTACGTTCAATTAAAATGTAATTAAATTGTAATAATATAGTTGGGAAAATTAAGGAATCGATCAGATCAGTTTTCCCCAATTTGTATATGACAATGGTCCGTTTTCACTCAAATTTTCGGATTATCTTCAATTGTACATCTAGCAATGAAGTCACTACCTTAGCACCACTATCTCTCACCTGAACAATGTTACCAAGTCCTTTTAATAACATCTACTTAGATTTGTAAAGCAATGGAAAGAGTAAAGGAGGTAAGAGAGATAAAAGATATATATATATATATATATATACACTGTCGCTCATATAGGTGGAATATTTTTGTTTTACACCAATTAATGGAATTATTTTTAAAATAATTTAAAAATAATAGATCTAGATAATAGTATACATTATCAGATAGTATTGAATAATAATTTGACAATGTGTATTTTGCGTGACTGCTAAAGCATGTGTATGCTATTATGCTTATCAACTAGGGGACCTACGCCATTAAGTCATAAATGACAGTGATGAGGATTAATGCCCCACAAAAGGGCACTAATATAGGACATCGAGACGATTTTGATCCTGGGGCCTCACAGTTACGAGGCCATTGCTTTGTCACTGAACCATGACTGTACGCAGCGGGGGCTAGGGTAGGGGGCAGTTTCCAAAAATATAAAAAAACACGGAAAATGCAATAAATGTTCAATAATTTATTGCATTTTACCCCGGTTCTCAACATGAACAAATCCTTTGTGTGCCCATGCCTTGAGCCATAATGCATGGCCGTCCAGAGGATTTTGTAGTTTGTAGGTATGTGTCTTTAAAACGTACTTTTATATCAATCTTTATCATTATGACACCAAAGTTCATTCCATCCAAGGGTATTTATTTTCATATCAGCATTGCTAAACTATTTATAATATTGATATGAGAGTGCTCGTAACTAATGAAAATTAATGATTTCTTTTAAAAAGTGTGAAAATGAAATTACCCCCAAAGTTGAATCGAAGAATGCAAAACTATTTGGGGAGAAAAAAAAATCGTTTCCAATAGAAATCGTGTTTGGTAAACCTTTGATTTTGATGCATCAGAGGCCATCGTTGAGTAGAAATCATCACTCAGCTTACTGCATAACAGCTCCAATGATTTGAGATTCGGCATGGAGCATAAACTTTTAGCGTAATGAGAGGATGCAGTAGAACTCAGACCTGTCTCGTCTTGAATTAGCTCCTCAATCTGGTGATGTGACAGGATAGGTTAAATAGAGTGAAAAGTATTTTCAAGTATAGACGACATTTCTGTCTTGAATATTCTTACTGTCATTAATGTAACATTATCAACCATTTTTTGAAGAGAGTGGGATGGAGCATGGACCTATAACGAAAGGACATTCGTCGTTTTGTTAACGAATTCATTGTGATTGTCTCCGTCAATGTCGTCTCAATAACATTCCGTACATGTTTCTTCACTTTGATCTCATGAGGTCCACCGCCAATAAGCCGGGACAGAATCAAGAAAGTGATTTTAAACATGTTAATATACATGCGCAGAAGATAATATATCGCTTAAATCATGGGAAATCGATGTGCAGTCGTGGGTAATAATCGGAAATTTGACATTGAAATAAAAGAGAAATATAAGCCATGTTATAACATAATTAGAGAGGACTGACTCTCCTTTCCCGAAAGTGTAAGGTCGCCAAAAGTAAATTATTTTTAACCGGGGACCGACTTTTCCAAAAATCGTTGGGTGATGCCTAAATTCCAGCGGGAACCGAGCAGGCTACAATTCGGTCGGTAGCCGCTCTGAGTTGTGACCATAGCTTTAGTAATCAACAAATAGCATGCATCGATAATAAATAATGATAAGTATGATTTAGGATTTATCTAAATTAATATAATAATCATAAACCTTGGACTGTGGAGCTGCAGCAGACATTCCTGTGTAGAAATGTTCATCCAGATGCATGGTTTGAATGGCCAATTTTCGTAAGTTCTGCAATGTGAAGAGACCTACTGCTGCTATAGCAGACGATGGTGCGTTAGTTTCGAAGGACTCGCTGACACCCAATGTTTCACGAATCGAGGAACTTCTTCTTACCTGTACAACAAATGAATTTTAGCGATCGATCTATGAATAATATTTACAAACAAACATACCATGCTAATGGTTTAATTTGCGCAAACAAATTCTTATAGCAAACATTCGTTTGTAAAAGGAAAATAAAAAACAAACCCAGTTATTTTTTTCACCAATAGGCCAGATTCTGACAGCATGTTATATGTAAATAGCATGGACACAAACAAACGTTCTTATCATCACGAATTATGGAAGGTGATATGAACATGACAAATCATGTTTAGACTATCGTTTGTTTTAATCATCTGTAATAAGTATGCTTGAATAGTGAATATATATTGAGGTAGTTATGGAGGGCATATTAAATATATAGACTGACCTACATTTTGTATAGTTCGTCTGGTTGGCTCAGCTTTTTCAGTTTGTTAATGCTGAAAGAGCCGTACATTGTTACCTTTTCCTTTCTTGGTAAGTCCATTAAATTTATGTATTAGATAGCTTAGACAGATACCGAGATGTGATTGGTCCAGAGCTCGTCACGTGATTGCGAGGATCCAAATTGTTTTATTTTCCTGGCCGGGTATTTTACCAGCTGGTGAAATGAATATATTTTTGATCAATGCATGTCGCCCTCTTGAGGATTGTATGTCACCAATTACACACATTACACCATTACCGAGGGACATTTTTTTTTTTTTTTCATGAAATTTTTTCCTCCTTGAAATTATTTTTTCCAAAGTTTTTATTTTTTCCCAAAAAAGCATTTTGGGGGTAAGAATTTTGTTTTTTCCGATTTTTTTCTTCCCAAAAAATTGCTTTTCTGGGCAGGAATTTTTTTTTTCTTCAATTTTTTTTTTTTTTTTTTTTCCATTTTTTTTTTTTTTAAAGGTTTTTTTTCTTTTTTGAATTATCTCGAAATATTATTTTTCAGTCAATTTTTTTTTTTTGCACTTTTTTTAGAAAATTTTGATTGTGCCCCCCCAAAAAAATTAAGCCAAGGCTATCTAATATAACGGTTATTGACTGGCAGGGGGTATTTTCTATTCTTTGGACCTGAAGGGAGTTATATTTTCCCTCGTGACCATAATTTTCCCTCAGCGCTGCGCGCTTTGGGAAAATATAACCACTTGGGAAATATAACTCCTTTCAAGCAGTTCAAATAATGTTATATTACACCCCCTGCCAGTCAATAACTGTATAATATGACGAAGAGGCAAACGGTAACATGATTCTCGTTCTCATGTGAGACTGATTTTTATGCCCACTATAGTACGTATTATAATGACAACATGGCAGTTTTTAATGATTATGGGTCAGAAGGCTGGACAAAATAACAGACGGTATAACGTGTAGTTATTCTTATGTTTGTATAGCCAAATTTGCGTACGTAATTACTGAAAGCTCAACAGATGACGGTATTCCCTCAATATAATACAAATTTACAATAAGCCGAACAAAAAATGAGATAGGTCTGTAATTCTCTCCACGAAACTTACTACCTCCTTCCCTATTGATTCCAGCGTGAAGAGAAATCCGGCGATCACAATTTTAGTTTTTAATGTAAAACTTGTCTCCGCCTTCAACAGGTTCCTGACGGGTTCAATGGCTTCTGAATCATGGCATTCAAATGCACACTGACTGATGAACTCCATTTCATCATCTTTCTTGCATAGGGCTTCCAGGACCGACTTTCCTACGTCACCTCCATGAGCTGCAGTGAAGTACAAAACATATCTAAATTCCCCGCAGTCTTCTAAAAGAGTGTCTGCCAGGATTCTGTTGAATTCTTGACGATCTTCGTAAAACAGCGATGCAAGGTAGAAACTCGCTGTGTACTCTTGCAGTAACTTATGAGGGAAAGAGAATTCTTGGACGAATTGCTTTCGCTGACTTTCTCTGATTTGCAAGGGTGCTGGCCTTATTTCCTTGGTAAGAATCCCAACCTCGCATGCAGTCATTGCAGCCTCTATGCATGAGTCGAGCGCATCTTCATCGAAGATGAACTGTTTAACCAACAGACCTTGAAAGGCGATACAACTAATATCTTTCATACTTTCACTAGCTTTCCTCATGCGGATTCCATAGCCCTCTTCTAATTCATTTGGTTTGGAAAAGTATTGCTCTTGAAGTGAAAAGACAAGACGCTTCAAAAGTTGCGAGAATGTTTCCATTGTCTGAACAATTTCCCGTTCACATGGCGTTTTCCATAGGCTACATAGCATACTGCAGAATATCGGGAAGGGTGCCATGTACTTAGAAACCACTCGGTTTGTGTAAATGAAGTTAATGAGGGTCGAAGCAGAATCAGAATCATTTTTGAAATAGTTTTCGATATATGTTGCCATGTTTTCCTTTGTGAAGCCCTTAACCTTACCAAACGTGTACTTGTCATTAATCGTCATGATGCTCTTGATCTGATCAGCTCCAAAAGGACGGGTTGTGATGACGACTGGGGTATCAATGAATCGTTCTCCTCTTACGATTGATACGATAGCGTCATTGCGATTTGTCTTTTTGATGTCGATTTGTGCCTCGTCCAGTCCGTCCAATAAGATAAGAGCTTTTCTCTGATTTGTCCTGATATATTCATCAACCCGTTTCCCCTTTATTTCTGAATCGTCCGGGAAATGGCCCATGACAGTATCCCCAAAGAATCCGCTCTCTTGAATCTCTCGAAAAGATTCAAGAAAAAGCAGATTGACTTCTTGAAGAATTTTACCCTCAGCCCAATCAAGAGCTATCTTAGCAAACAGCGTCGATTTCCCTACACCAGCTTCCCCAATGAAAGCTAATCGTGTTACAAAACCTTTCGGTGTGTCAGTTTTGATGAATTTAAACAACCCCTCATAATCTATTGGCTCCTCCTTTTCCCCCCGCGATCCTAACATGAGGACAAGACTAACATAGATGTGCTGAAGCCATTTCCATGACTCAGGGTTCAAAGGCGATGTTTTGATCTGACCAAATTTTCTGCGATATCTACTTTTCAGTTTTTCTCGTAACTTCGTTATGTCACTTGGCATCGCCTCATCGTCATCTGAGGAAAAAAAAGAGCATTATGTATAATAATGTAAGTAAAAAAATTAGATACAAATTTGGTTCAAAATCACTGCCGAGGAAGTTGAAAACGTATTGCTGTTTCTGTTCAAACAGGTTCTGCTGATAATAAGTGTTCGGCGAAGGATAAACCTGGCGTACGAACGCATATCCGTTGCTGTTTTTCAGTCGGGTGGGATTCCTCCACGTGTTATAGTAAAATGTATCTGCACAAGATTGCTATGCTGTAATATCATGTCAACCCCTATTTTGTGATTCTCTATGTATTAAATTGTCACCATCAAGTTTATCAGGGGAAAGAATACTTTTTTCGTATCATTTCATAAATAGTATGAAATTTACAGAACAAAAATTAACTTAAATGACACGTAAAAGTACTTTAGCTCAAATGTTTATTATGTGCAACAATTTATTTCACGTTCTCGTATTTTGAGCGTGCATAAGATTGTCTTTTCAACATATCAGAGGATACCAATGCAACACTCATTGAAGTAATTTTTAATGGAAACTGTTTTTGGATGTGGATATACAATGTAGTTTGTAGAGGAAAATTTGACTCAAACCAAGGACATGGTTTTCATATATGATAAGTAATCAAGTTTGCTTTATAATTACTCTCATCTACGTTATTATTTATATAGGGAAGCTTACCGCTGCCGGTGCTTGGGAAACATGTCTCTTCCACCCCTAGTAAGCCCACCTTTTTGAGAGCAGCTCTAAGAACTGGAAGTCGCTTGGATGATTTGACTGTCTCTGCCCAGTTCTGAAGCATCATCACGTTACCATTACTTGTCTTTTTACCTCCAGCCCAATTCGTTTCTAACGCCCGGTTGATATCAGGAATCTGGACTCCCAGCTCAATACCGAGTTTCATTAAATCAACATCAGCTGATATAGCGTTTGCTACTTTGAAGATGACGTCATCGAATCTATGTGTTTGACTTGATGTTTGACCGCTAGAATATAAAAAACGCAGAATTAAACCATTTGTATAATTAAAGTTATACTACACAACTATATTAAAATCGTCTATTCATTGCATACTATGAATTACAAATCATATATATTTCATGTCCCCGGTATGGGGATTGATTATCTAACAGATTTAACATTTTGTTCATCATAATACACCAGTATGTGAGCTAGTAGTATTTTACATGTACGTATTTCAAGACTTCGAAAATACTTATTCTTGTTAGTTGTTGAGTTCAATGAAAAAGAAATATGAAATATTTGAACTAAGTAAAATACATGTACTTTAATGCTTAGTACCTGATCATGATATTATTGTAGCAGACCAGCCAAACATAAAAAGAGCCTCTAGAAAAAGTCTTATGCCATTTTATTGGGAATGCTAAAGGGTTGGCGATTTTTCGGGTAATAAGCGTCCATGGCACACATGGCTATATCGCTCATCCCACTAAATTCCATCAATTCCAATAATTGACCCCCGGCCTTATTAGGGTTAATCTGTTCAAGAAATCAATGCATTAGCTAATACTGAGGTTTAAAGTGATTGAAGATCAAAATGAACCCAGTAGCGAGGGACGTAAATAAATAAAAACTATTACAACAAACTTAAGATCAGAAAAACATAGGTCTACAAAATACTGCCTAATATCACTTTTAATTTTTTTTGTGCTTCGAATTTTTGAAATTACTTAGCAAAAAGTATACTCTTGTAGGAAATTATAATAGCTAAATATGGTCATCCTAAACAAATCCACCTTTGAGCTCTAACTGAAAACCACACTATATGACTTTTTGTTTGTTTTGTGGTGCGATGTCACATATGTTCTTGCATGTTTATATAATATAGCTGTGATTGAATTGAAAGGAGACTGTCGTTTAAGCATTTTACCATTTAACATAGTAAATTCTAGGGCCTATTTTTTTCAATGTTTTCAGTGGACTGATAAAAAGATTCGTTGTATCAGTCTCACCTCCCTGGTTGTATCTTGGAGGTTTGATGTTCATAATTTCTTTCCCGGTCTAAGATGAATAACGAATAACGTCATATTTCCATTTCCACTAATGGAGATGTCGACCACCATTTAGAATTACTACCAACATTTCATTCGCGTGATATTTTATACAAATAATGCACTGCAGTGAGAGCATTAGAAAGAATTACCCAAGGTAATTACACAAGGTACCTTTGGAACAGTCTAGTAGTTATCCAAATTTCGCGTTAGGCAAAATAAATGCATGGTCACGTGTACGCTTTTAACCAATCATTAGATTAGGATCCACGTCATCATTTTATAATAAAGAATAAAAACCTTAACTACTCTCAAAAGTGATAAATAGCCTTGTCAGTCATTGGCATTCTGTGACCAGGGCAAATTTATTAATTATACAAGTATCACAGTGGACTTGTTGTACCTTGTACTTGAAGTGTCATCACTTGGGGGTTCGGTCATCTCTTTGGTTTTCAGCCTCTCTGCCATCGTGAACGGTATCCAGCCTGAGGAGAAATGTCAAAATATAAAAGGAGATACATGTATATGATTAATAATCACAAACATGGGGTCCACCGTATGGCGGTCAAGGTTTTTCTAAGTCATAAGTCCTAAAAATTGACCAGTTCACTACTTCACTAACATATTTAAATGTTATAGACGTTTTTTCTGCATGGGGACCTAGTGACGAGTTTTTCCATTAAGTTAAACCTGTTATTAATAAATGAACTGCTATTGCTACTACTGAACTATGATCCAGTATGCTTAAATTACGTGTTACTATGTCGGGTCAGCCTCGGGCAAGCTTTCAGGTTGTCAAGTAAAACCTTTTTTAAAGAAGTATGCATACAATTTTTTTTTTTTTAGAGATTTGTTAACTCTCATGGCGTCGATCACGACCGTATATGTGACAAACAGTAGAGGTGCTTTTTAACGGCTTATGCCGAAAGGGTGGCAGCGTCGTGTCCAACATCCAACCCCCCCCCCCCCCGGTTGAGCCAAAAGGGTGCGTTGGGAGTGTCGCGTTGACTGGAACGCGGCCATTCGACCAACCCCCCCCCCCCCCGGTTTCGCCGAAAGATTGCGTGGACTAGTCTTCCACATCAGTCGTTTATACAATAGAATTTAAGAAATAGAAATTTAAGTTCGTTTAAATTCAAATAATCAAAATAGAAACAGATTACAAATTCAATAAAACCAGTTTTTACGTAGTCTTGCAGAACAGGCGTTTATAAGAAATTTTGCCATCAAATTTTGGGGGCTTCCAACACTTTAAGAGGGGCTTTAGGCTAATTGAATTATGTTATTATAGTGAAAAAGGAATACATTTTGAAAATTATTGTATTGTTTTGATATTGAAGAAAAATTGAACAAAATTACGGAAAAGCAAAAAGAATAATGTGTGGGCGGGTGCGTGTGTAGTTTACACAAACACATCAAGCAAACAATCAGTGATTCCAGACGTCCCTTTTGACATTCTTTTCAATATGGAAAATCCTACAAGACTCATTATTATATTTTAGTCTGTCAATGACAATGTGGGCAATAACTTTCTTGACTTGTAGCGGGAGTGTGAATCAACTTAAGATTGTGAAAAAGGGTTGTGTTTAGGGAACTTTTTGTATGTGTGTAGTGTCTTTCCTTTCTTCTTTGTTGTACATAAAGTACATAAAGGATTTGCGTTTACTTAATATGGACCCTGAACTTTTCAACACAAAAGAGAGAGAGAGAGAGAGAGAGAGAGAGACGGATGAGTGACTTTGTCTGGAAACCACACAAATTTGTGCCCAATAGCTTGGGTAAACGAAGAAAGAAAAACACATTTGAAAGGAAAATTATGAAAGGAAACGTACCTTGATTGAAATCATTTGTAATGATATTCACGCTGGTAGGTTTTACATGAAAGAAATTTAGATCACTGATTGTAACCTATAAAGCATGGGTCCTTGAAAGCTCAAAAACAAGTTTGTCGAATGGATTCTAAAGAGTAAAATTACAATGGAAAACTGTAAGCATATCCACATGTTGGGTTTCCTTCATTCCGCTTTGATAAAAACATTTCTGACTAAAATAATATACGAGAAAACATAGACAGACATAACAGAAGTGAAAATGGAAACAATATTTTGGATTCCGTTTATTATACTTTACCTGATATCCTCATTCTCATTTCAGGTCCACCATCCTTTACAAGACTCAGATTACAGATGTACAGTATATATCTATTATAATGTAATTCATTAAACAGTGAAAGCCCTAAATCGTAAATGCCGAACTACATTAATGCCATTTAGCTCTAGTTACTTGAACCTAAGATGTCTTTTTATAGTTAAGCTGGTGTTGAATACATTGAGAAAAATATGCATTTTACAGAAACTATTCCGTTTGTAAAAGTTATTTACCTTTCAGCGGGTTCACTTAATTTGAATAATCGTAATAATAGTAGCAGCAGATAGATATATGCAATGTTCCACTTTAGTATATATGAATATCAGAACTGGATAAAAGTTAATCTAGGACTATATATCAGGTACAAGTTGAAAAACACACGGATCCGTATTACAATACTTCAAATGATCACATTAAACTCCTCCGTCCCCGGTACGAAATATTACAGATATGTGTATATATTATTTAGGCCTATTTTATACTCCTAAGCCGATGATGTTGTCAATGTGCATTTCAAATTGATTCGAACACATTTCAATGAGAGAAATCTCCCTAGAAGACTAGCCAAAATTTTCCTACGACTTTTTAGGGAGATGTTAGTTGGTCAAGCATTTATGTCCGTGTCAGGGTCGCTTTTTGTCTTAGCCTACAAACTGACCCTGAGCGGTCCCAGGTTTGAAACTAGGTTGGTGCCAAAAACCCCAAGGATGCAAAGCACTCACGCACCGATACAAAAAAAAATCTGCTGCTAAAATGCTCAATACAGAAGGTGAAAAAAACATTCTATAATATTGCTCAGCTTCTGGTAGCAAAGGGATTGAAATACTCATTATAAAAGGATCGACAAAATTTCGATAGGAATAGAAAAGACACTTTGAATGAAACGATTTGTCATGCTGGTCACGCACACCAGTTTTACACACACACAAAAAAGAAACCTAGAGAGCGTGGGTGTTATCGCCTGTCATTGGAACAGATTCTAAAGACTAAAATTTCAATGGAAACTGGGGTATTGTGAAACCCATGCATTACCAAATTTGGGCATGTTTCTTCGTTCTGCTTTGATGCAAACATGGCTTGGTAAAAGAAGAGTATACAAAAAGAATCCGACATTCCTAACAGAACTGAAAAGTGATTCTAATAACTAGTCTCCTGTTAACGACACTTTATATTAAAAAAAAGGAAGGAGATGAACGAATGGTCGCGTACGAATCAACGCGACGCTACCCATCCTTTTCTGCATAAGCCGTTTTAACTTATGCTGTATATCAGGGCCCCGTCTTATAAAGATTTGCGATTGTTTCGGATCAATCGTAAGTCCTCTTATCAATCGCAAGTTTGCCCTATCTTTTATGTAGATAGTTGCAATTTATATCACTTGCAATTAAGTTGCGATTAATCACAACTCTTCATAAGACGGAGCACAGGTTAGGCCTTATTTCATCACCTCCAATTTTAATCAGTATTTTGTTTCGTTATGTTTAATAATATTTGGCTACTGTTGTAAATGTATTATGAAGTACACGGCTCTCTTGTATACAAGTAGTTGTATGTACTGATGAGACTCTTTTGTATATGGAACACAGAATAAATTAACGAATGAACGAATAAATAGATATATTTCTATATGTCTATCAACAGTATTCAATGTCAATACTCCACTCTAACTTGTTCGACTTTTACTGAACCTTTAGTACCTAAACAAGAACTTCAATTGCAAAATGAACATTACAAGTCAACTCGACGCCCCCGGAAGCTGGGAATTCAGGTATCATGCATCATCATGGAACGATGGGCTCAAACGTTCATGCAAATCATGCCAATTTCTCAACGTTGCCCAAAAGCTCAAATTGTTCTTTAACGACAAGAGATCACATATCATCATCATCATCATCATCAACAACAAGTCTTCAAGAGAAAGTTATAGGTTCATGACATTTCATTTCGACTATCCTAAACCTAAGTCACACTAGGCGTACGACTGGTTGCCGACTTCTGACAAAAAAAAAAAACGACAACCAATGACAACCAATTTGTGAGAACTTGCAGCGGGTGGTCAGTTGCCGAATGTCATACAAAAAATGTCAGATCGTCAAATGTTTTAGACCACTCATAGAGATATGGGGAATGGTTGGCAATGAAATGTTAAAAAATGATCAAAGATCAATTGCCGATGTTCTTACGACAGTCGGCAAGCTTTATAATGGGGGAGATAAATGATCATTTGCGCAATCATGCATAAGAAGATTACATTTCTTGCTCATTATTAGCACTTGTATTTGTTTAGGTTTAGTGTGACTTCATTCGTATATTTCACTCTATGAGGCTTCTTAACTTTTCTTTTAAAATCAATAACTTAGTTCCATTGAAGCTGATTATAATGATTTGATGATAAACGTGAAAACCAAGACACAATAGAGATAGGGAAGCTGGGAAACGGTTAAAAAGGGAATCTAAAAAATTATGGTGAACTTGCGTGCAAATAACAGAGATATTGCAGTTGGCAATAGAAGATGAAGGGAAATAAAAGTTATAGTGAAATAAGGGGAGGAGGGAAAAAAAATGTTTTTAAAAAATTAAAACAGAGTTCATCCATTGTTATCTTTTTACAAGTGGCTACCTTGAACGAGCAAAGAGTAATTATGTGATTGTACTGAATCCGGGCCATAAACTACAATTACAATGATGATGATGATGATGATGATTCTCAGTTTTGATAATGCCCAACATTTATTGTAACCAAATCTCGGAGGTATTTTAAAACCCTACTGCACTAGTTTGGCCAGGAGGGATTATACCTCCCTGCATGGTCACTGACAGGTGGTTATCTCATCAAATCAGCTCTCAATAAACATAAGAAAAAGAGGATAATGGGTAACAATGGTCACCGATTAGGCATTGTTCGCTATATAGAGGGCGCAAGTAGCTATAAGTAGCTACAAGCAGGGGCGTAGACAACGGGGGGGGGGGGGGGGGGGGGGATGAGGGGGATGCATCCCCCACCTCACAAGGTGGGGGGGATGGCATGTACAATCATCCCCCCCAGGTTTTGGGGAATGATATTTGCTTACTTAATAAGTTATAATGATGATAATAATAGTAATAATAATAATGATAACAATTATAATATTAATAATAATAATAATTATGATGATGATAATAATAATCCTCATCATTATTGTAATTGTGTTTATTGTTATTAGCCGCATTCACAAGGTGAAAGCCAATTCAGACGGTAAGAAAAAGAAAATCTTACAAGTATTTTGTGGTTATCTTGTGGTTTGGAAACCACAAGATAACCACAAGATTAAACAGGCGCGGATCTACGGGG